TTCTTTCTTTCTTTCTTTCTTTCTTTCTTTCTTTCTTTCTTTCTTTCTTTTTCTTTCTTTCACCTCTCCATATATCATCTGTTTATCATTTATCTCTCTATCATCTATTATCTTTCTATCATCTATCTATCTATCACACATACTAGATAAAAAGATAGATAATAGATGATAGATAGATGAAAAGCAGATGACACATAGAGAGATGGTACATACATACATACATACATACATACATACATACATACATAGATGCATAGATACATAGATACAGGGACAGATACATAGATGATAGAAAGATGATCGATTGATGATTGATTGATGAGAGAGAAAGAGAGAGATGTGATGCAATTTTTTTAGAAAAATGTAAAAATTAGTCAGTTATGGTCATGTTATCCTGAGTGTATGAATCACTTCTAATCTTAGATGCTAAGATGGGTAAAGACTGGTTAGTGCTTGGACAAGAGGACAGAGATAAAACTACAATTCTCAGGGACTTTGATTGTAGGCAATAACCCAGCTTGGAAATACGCTACCTAACTTGTGAATTAAAAAGTAAACATACTGGTTTTTGCATTTAAAGTTATTTTCTTAAAAAAAAAAAAAAAAAAAAAAAAACTCTCATTTCTGATGACACTTTTTTTTGGTGCAGTGCTAATATTTGTTTTTACTTTATAATTTGTTGGTGCATTTCTTCCCCCAAAAATCACTATGCATTACTTTTGAAATCTTAAATATTAATGGAATTTAATGTGCTGTTTCTATATGGGAATGGTACCTCTTTATAATTTAAGTCTTGATTACATTTTATTTTTCATTTCTTTTTATTCTAAAGCAAGACTTAGAGTTGTGGATTCAATTTTGCCTTCATTTTAAGAAAGATTAACTAATACCACTTTAACAAGCACTTATGAGACATCTTGTGTGAGCTGTTATCAGCACACCGGAAGTTAGGATGCCCTTCAAGGTCTCAGACCATAACGCCTTCTTGTGCATCTTCACATGGTGATAGTTACAGTGATAACACCAGCAGTGCTTATACAGTGGTGCTTTCTGTACAGTCCAGAGAATGATCTATAACAGTCATATTTTGAATTTAAGATGAATGAGCTTACCAAGTACGTAGCAGGTTAAAGTAAAAGAATAAAGAGAGGAGAGAGAGAGCATGCTATAAAAACAAGCTCTTAACACATCCCACAGAAACTGACTGAGAAAGCGCTGCCAAGGCAGCCCGCTGGAGGTCCTCTTGTATAGTCCCAGAAGAGTACCCCCGTTTGGTGAGGCTTCCAAGTAAAAGAACCAATAGTGACACATAAAGATGACATCATCAAATTGGGAAGCTGAGGCAGTCAAGTGGAGTTCACAATCGAGCTTTCTCTTCGTGAGTGAGCTTGCTGTGTCTGAAATTTTGGCTTCTCTTTCTCACTACAGGCTCTTATATTGTGGAGAAACAATAGCAACACTTGTTGGCAATAGTTTACCTGCCAGCTCCTCTCAGGGATATAATGTTATTTACTCTTGAGCTGTTTTGCTGTTCTAGGTCCTCCCTGCAGCAAAGCTAGAGAGCCAGCTCATCTCCAGACAAGGAACCTTGGAGGGTGCTCTGAAACAAACGTGCTTGGGGCTGGAATGAGGGAGGAAGGGCAATCCTACTTCCAAAGTCTCAGAGAGCTGAAACTGCACCTGACACTTTGCCAATTTAGTGTCTATTAAATGGTACCAGATATGCAGATATTCTGTGTGCATGTGTAAATATATACACTTTTATACCTACAACCACGTTTAGCACATACTGCAGCCACATATACACATGAGTGTATTTCATATACATGAATCTAGAGCAACAGGCTCCCGTTTGCACTCTGCACCCCTGTGCCATGACTAAAGAACATGTGAATTCCCAGCGTAGTCAGTGGGAGGGGCGACACCAGCTACCTTGCTATATTACACTTGTTTTGCATCGCAGCTCCTTATCAAGGGTCTGGTTTTATCTGTTCCTGCCCCTGCCTTACAGGTGAGTTTAGAATCAGTGCTTTCCTTCTTTTTCAAAAGAAAACTCTCTCATGAGAGAATCAAAATGGTTCAGCAAGACTGGTTGTGCTATGGAGCTTCACAGGACAGGACAGTAAACAATATAAAAAAAAAAAAACAAAAAAAAAAACCAAAACAAAACAAAAAAAAAAACCCTTTACAGGGAAAAAAGCCAGTGATTCAAGGATCTCTGTGATTCAATTACTCAGAAATCACTCACTATACATTTTTAGGAATGTGTTTAAAAATCAGTGAGGCTGCATTCTCCCTTCAGGGCAGAAGGATAGATAACTAAGCATTCTACGTTGTTAAAAAATGTAACGTTCTGCGCTTGTGATTCCCTTCCAAGCTCTGTTAGAAGAGGACAACCAGTGGATAACCCAGATAAACAGACTCCAGAAATTAATTGATAGACTGGAAAAGAAGGTGGGTGCTTCCTTTTCCTTCCTCTCTCTATTTCACAAGATCTTCTGACCAAGTTTCCTCACTTGCTGGATATCAGCCTTGGCTGCCTCATGCATAGAATCATGCTCAACATCTAACTGGCTCTGTGGATGTCTGGTTGGTAGTTATGAGGACTTGTTTTCTGATTGGTTGTTTGTATGATCTTTTAAACAAATATGAAAGCTCAGAGTTAAATTTAAAATAATATCCAGGGCTAAGAATTAAATAAACTCTTTAGGCTATGATTGAATGATGCTAATCCATCTCAGAGAGAGATACAAGTGAGGTCTTGAGAATCCTTTAGTTTAATTAAGGGACAATGTTATTCTTTGCTCGACTTCTAGAGACTAACATACTGACAGTTTTAGTGTTCAGCCTGAGGAGTAAGTGAAGAAGAAGGGATATGATGAAGACATCTTTGTAGCTACATTGCACATTCCTAAATAACATATCTTTTTTGTTTTGCTCTGTTTTTTGAGACAGGGTTTCTCTGTGTAGCCTTGGCACTTATTTTGTAGACTAGGCTGGTATTGAACTCAAAGATTCACTTGAGATTTGCCTGCCTCAGCCTTCCAAGTGCCAGGGTCAAAGGCATGCGCTCCCACCACCTGGCATAAATGGCCTATTTGGATAGAGCAGAGCAGCTTGTATAACGTGTCAGTGTCGTCATGGCATATTGGCACAGTATATGCTTGTACAGCCTTAGTGCTAAAGGCAATCTTTGTCGAGCAATAAGAAAACATCTTTTCTGTGACTTCTGGGCAACAAATAATGCATATTTTTGCTTGGCAGAAAACCTGAGTTTTGAAGAATCCATGTATAGTTGTACAAATAAACAAGGAATGGTAAAAGAAGGTTGTTTGTTTGTTTGTTTTTAAATGACTGATAGAACTGAGTTCATCTGTAATTCTCAGTAAGTCCTGACATGTGCCAAAAGATTGTAATCTGATGTTTACCTGAAGGAATGGTCTCCATGAGCTGGGTGTTTGGGAGGATTTTATATTCAGAGAGGATGTAAGTTATAATTTAAATGATGACAACTCAATTAAGATTTTAATTATAAGTAATAGAACTCATGTTTATAATTTAATAAAATTGAGAAGTTTCTTCTGGAATGGTATAGAAATGCTCAGGGAATCAACAGATATTCTAAGGCATGAATTCAGGAACTCAGGAGATGAAGTGTCTCTAAATGTCTAGCTAACAAGAGCTGCAGTCTTCTGGGTTATGCCTGCTAGAATTAATGTATTCAGTGAGTCCAGTCTGTTTATTTTCTGCATATGATTCCATTTCCAAAGGGGAATGTAGGTTGCTTTTGTTAGGGAGACATGCTAGCTTCTTAGAAAAAGTGAGGGGAACATTCTGACAATGCCAGACCACTGCAGGGAAAGAAGAGAGAATTCATGGAAAGGAAAATGTGTTGACACTAAAGGTAGAATAAACTCTAATTGATTAACCAACAAACATTTTATATAAAGTAAAGTAAACAAAGAAGAAATTCATTAAAGAAGGCAGTGAAGGCATGAAAGTGGAGCAGCTTGAGTCTTTCACTTAGAGAAGCAGTGAGGACTAAGTTTACATGATGAATTGGTGCCTGGTCATGAGGAGGCATTAACTAACAGACTAAGGGATTTGGATTTGGTATGGAGAACAACCAGACACATTTTTTAAAATTTTTTTCACTAGTAATTAAAGACATAAGATCTTTTGATAAAAAACCAGGCAGAAAGATACAAGTTGTGTTAAATCGAGATCAAAATGGATTAAAACAAGAAAGGACTAGGCTGAGAGCTGAAGAAGTCATCTCCAACAATTCCAAGTTTGTGTACCTGAACACAGAGATGGGCCCACACTAAGTGAGAGAACAGAAATGAAAGACTTCTAAGATAAGAAGGGAAATTCACAGCACCACTGGTTGGGCACGGTGGAACCCACATAAGAGTGTGAGGATGTCAGCCTATCAGAGTTCACTCACAGAAATGGGAGAAACAAGTCATAGACCATTTTTAGGTACAATGAGAAAGAAGGTTGGCTTTCTAAGTGCATCAATGTCAAGGTGCAATAGGCAAGGTATATAAGTGTCAGTAAGAGAGGTGAAACGATCAGCTTAGGTCTTACAGCTAACACACACAACTAAGGCAAAACCTCAGGGTCTGAAGATGGGCAAGGATGCTGAAAACAAGGTTCTTTCTGTACAAGAAGAGCTAAATCAGAGGGATGCAAGCCACGATAGCTCCAGGCCCTCCGGCAGGGCACCTTCATTGGCATCACTCTCCTACTGGAGCAAACACATGAGCTGTAAGCATGTTGCAAGTCAACGTTCCTCTTTCGTTTTCTGAGAACTGAATTGTCAGTTGGATCTAAACAAAAAACAGTGGCTATGAATATTAGTTTCCTGATGGTGGAAGGCCTGCAAATACAGGATCGGCTTTGAAATGAAAACCCAATGGAAGCATAAGGGTGTAAAGAAGACCATCATCAGAGCCCAGCCACCTTGAAAGCAACTCTTCCATCTTGCTCCCCCATTTTGTTAGCAGAGTCAAGCTGAGTTCATAGTCCCAGGCTCAGCGACCAGCTTCTACCCCACCCCTCCAAATGTCATTTTAATTGTCAGGTAAGCCAGTAAAGAATATAGAACTTGCTGTTATCTTAACCAAGGTGCCTAAGTTGTAAAAATACAAAACCAGTTGCTTACCAAGCCCTTATTACTTACATATGCTGACCTGCTCCTTTGAACCCTTATCACCTTGAGCTCTGGACTGCATGTCTAGGAGGGTGAGTTAAGGGTCTTGGATTCTGGAACAAATGTCTAGGGGAATGAGTTAAGGACCTTGAAGCCAGGTGCCCTGGGTAAGGCCAGGTCGCCAACAGATAATCCCTTGCTTAACCCTCAATGTCAGAATACAACTGGATGACCCCACAGCTCACCCAAGACCACCTCATCTTTTGATCTCACCCTTTAAGTAAGCAATACTGCTTTCCCTCCCAGATGAGGTTCAAACCCTGAGCTGACTGAGTGCTCCCTGGGTACTCGGAAAATAAAGGTGAAGTGAGTTTTCTCAGGTTCCCCCCCAACCCAAACAAGGGTCCCTGTGTTAAATATGTTTAGACTGTTTTAAAGAACAAATATAAGTTTTTGAACTGGTTTTGAAGTTCCTAGCAAAAAATGTCTCCTCTTGGTGTATGAAATTTGTTCAGTTATTTCCCTACCCCACCCCCCGAATTGGCTTAAACTTTAGTAATACTTTTCCCCTCTGTTTTAAATCAAAGTATTGTCACATCCCTTTCTTTCCTGGACTTTTGTCTCTCTCCCTTCCTATGAAATGGTTTTATAGTGAGAGCAGCATCCAAGAGATTTGCTGAAAGCCTGGGCCTCTGGCTGTGTGGCGCTCAGCATGAGCTGTCTTAACGAGTTGGTGGAGCAGTACAGGGCTCGGTTTTCTTGTGTGACTTATTCTGTCCTGTGCTGAATTAGATTTCCAGAGGAAAACTATGCAATGGCCAAATAGTGCCTAAGTGCCTGTCATTTTGCTGCTGACTCTCTTGTTTCCTGTGGTTGTTAGCATTGGATTTGATCTCCCTGTTAAAAGGAAGTATACCTAAGGCAGAACATAGATTTTTTTTTTCTGTCTAATATGTGCTTATGATAATCCTTCCTAGACTGTAAACTGAATATAATTCCATCCAAGTGATTGGAGGCTAATGACATTTGTGATTCCTACAAGCTTTTCAGGTTTCTGATCTGTCCTTTCCAGGCTCCATGAGCAGTGATGGGGATAAGCTGACGTTCTAATCATGCTGTCCTCAAATCTCCACAAAATGTGGTGCAAGTTAATGTGTTCACCATCCAAGCATGAGAAACTCAGTTCAAGTGTCCAGAACCATGTAAAAGCTCAGTGCAGAAGCATCTCTGTGCTTCTCTGGGGAGATACATAGAGGTTGAAAATGGAGGGCTCCTGGGAGCTCCCAGGTCATGAGCCTGTTGTGTGCACCAGCAAACACTAAAGAGACACTGTCTAAAAAGGTGGGATGGGAAGTCCGACATTCAAGGTAGTCTTCAGTGGTATGCACACGTCTACACACACACAAACACGCACATGCACGCACACACATGCCCTTTTTTAGATAGAGTGAGAAAAAGTAAGACATTTTTATATTAAACAAAGCAAAGACAGCAATAAAGCCTATCCTTTGTCCAATGAATCATCAGGTTGCCATAAGATGAATAACTGAGGATGGCACACTCATATAATTAAAGCTTTTCTTCCCTTCAGATAATATAGAACTGAAAAGTGGTAGAAATGCATTTAGAGATTGCGCAGTCACAAGCTTCCATCTTGTACAGCTGATATTCAATTCATGGGGGCGGAAGGAGTGCTTTGTTTTGTTGTTGTTTTATTCTTCTCTCATACAGTACAATCCAGCTGCAACTTTTCCTCCCTTCACTCCTTCAATCTCCCCCCTTCCACTCTCCCCCACATCCACCTGTCTCCACCAGAAAAGAAAAGGCCTCTCCAAGAACATCAACTGAACACAATATACAAAAAGACGAGGCACAAACCCTCACATCAAGGCTAGGCAAGGCAATCCAGCATGGGGAAAAGGGTCCTAAGAGCAGGCAAAAGAGTGAGAGATACCCCCTCTTACTGTCAAGAGTCGCCCCGAAACACCAAGCTAACAAGCACAGCATATATACACAGCACAGACCCATGCAGGCATTACCATTACCTCCTCAGTCTCTGCGAGCCCCATGAGCCCTGCTTAATTGATTCCATAGGCCATGCTCTCCCAGTGTCCTGGAAACATCTGGCTCCCACACTTCCTTCTCCTCCTCTTCCTTGGGGTTCCCCAAGCTCTGAGGGAAGAAATCCAATGGAGACCTCAAACCTGGGCTTGCTCGCTCTCTCTCTCTCTCTCTCTCTCTCTCTGCCTAATGTTTGGTTCACAGTCTTGTTCATTACACAGTTTTACCTTTGGAAAAGGCATGATTTAGATGAGACCTTCATCCAGCCACTCGTTGATTCTGCAATGGCTACCTACTACATGCCTAGCAGCTTTCTGAGAATAGTAGTACAGACATATAACAGATAAACCATCTGGTCTCTAAAAAGACAGACAAAAATATGGGAAAGAATCAAAGAAACAAAATAAATTCAGATGGTGAACTACAGCTGAATTCCAGAAGTCAGCAGTGTGGATGGATAGAGAGGTTACACACGGAAAGACAGTGGTCTGAGAATGTCTGCGTAAAGCGTAAAGGGTGCTGTACTAAAACTGGGTTAAAACACAAGAAGAAGCCAGCTAGAGGAAGGCCTATGGGGGAAAGAATTGAAAGCAGGAGGGATCCTGAAAGTGAATCCAGGAGATGACAAACAGCTTGCCCAGAGCTCTACCCACAGGTGAGCGAGTACAGTCTTGCTCTGACCAGTTTAACACTGTCTCATGTAAACTGACAACTTTTTCTTAGCTATTTGAGAGAACTATTTCATCCATTCCTCACTTGGAATTTATGTAGCTCCTGGATGACCTGAAGGTCTCTATAAAAATCTTTCATTCTCGAAGACTGACATTCAAAAGTTCTCCTCTAAAACTCCACACATTCACTGTGGTGTACACACGTGTTCACATACAGGCACACACACAAAGATTTAAAAAAGATTGAAAACTTATAATAACAAATATTAGTAGCATTTTCCTTTGTTTCTCAATTCACCAACTTGAGTAAATAAAACTTGTGCTGGAACATGCAAAGATTATTTCAGTAGACAAGTGTTCATAATGGCCTCCCAAGGAAAGGGAAGACGTGACAGTCCTCACAGCGAAGTGGCCTGCTTGTTAGGCTGAGTGCACGTCTAGTCTCCCCTCTGCTCTCTGGTGGCATAGGTATGTGAAGTGAACAGCAGGAACAACTTGAGCATATCATAAATAGCTCCTTAAAATTGATTCTTCATAATGATAGAGTATCTCTTCATTAAAACAGCTCACTTTTTGCAATGAGAATTAGTTCATCTTCTTTCACATAACTAAGTTCTTTGGGTTTGTTATTAGTCATGAAACAAAACCACCATCTGGTTTTATGCTGATTGCTTTCGTTATGTAACTTGGCATCTTTTTCTTTTTCTCTGCTTTTGCTCCCTCTGACTGAAGGATCTAAAACTTGAGCCCCTGGAAGAAGAAGTTATTGAAGAGAACACTAAACCTGTGAGTGATTTCCGTTTCAAATTTTCAGAAATAGATACTTTGAAGACAAGACTTACTTTCCTCAAAATCTAGTACCTCAATAATAAGTTGAAACCTAAGTAACGAAGAGACAAATTTCACTCCTTCTAGATTTACCATGGCATTTATTATCATTGAATCATTTCTTGCTTTCAATAAGAATAAAATTTTCATGAAATACACAAGAAAAAAAAACCCGCATGATAAACCCATCATTAGAGTCACTAGTTACTAAACCTAGGAACACAGTACATGTAGAGATTTTAGAAAATCACAATTTCAGCAGTTTTTCAAGTAAGCTCCTTTGGTCTTTGTTTAAAGATCCTATTCGTTTTGCTTGGCTGATGTGGATTTGTGGAGACCTAATCCTTCACCTTAGGCACTAGTTGCTTGTGTGAACGAGCTTGTCATGCACAAGGTGCTGAATGAAGTTTAATATACACATATGAGACGTTGAGTTATTGCATTACTGAACATGACCAGCAGAGGATACCATCTCATAAAGGCATTTTGTAAACACCTCTAGTTGAGGGTTGTAAAAGCCTAAGCTGAAACCTAATCCCATATATTACCGTATTTCCAGCATTTAGCTTATATCTGGGGACTGTGAAATGCTAAGAGATCAAGTCATTAATCTTCAAGATATCCAAATGGGTATCCAAATTGATATCCAAAGATAGCATTGGCCTCGTTTTATAGAAAGTACTTACGTTTATATTCAAACTCCAGGAGCCCAGTGCTGAGCTCACACTCAGCATGCTGGTAACCTTGTCAATGCAGCATCTCACCGCTGCAGTAGAGGCGCTTGTAGCTGGGGAGGCTGTGAATTAACAATTGTTTTGTTGTTGTTCGTGAAACTTTTTCACCATGAGAACAGATTAGATTATTTGGTGGGCTCATTTAAACATGGAATATAAGATATTATTGTATCTAACTTTCCAAGGACTGAACCATGACATCACGATAAACCCAAGATATGGTTTATTTCCTAAAACCCATTTCCCCATCATTGCAAAATAAGGGAAGTAAGATATCATAGAAAAAAATCGATTCAAGATATCTGCTGCTCTGGCTGGCAGTGTGAATCTGGAGAGCAGGGCCTAAAGCTGAATCAGACTAAAGTCTCATGCAGTCGCCATCTTTACTCAGAGCGTCAGGCAACTTATACTCTGAGGGTTGAGAAGAGTCACCTGAGTAAAGTGTCCAATCATAAGGGCAAGACACACATGGCAAAAACATGTTTTTTCCATACAAGCAAATGAATATCAACAGCTGAAGTAAATCGACAGCTGGGAGGACCTCCAGACCACATTCCAGGAACAATTTGGTAGTTTAGAGAAACTGAGGTCATAAGACTCTTGTTGTTGTTTTCTTTTTTGTTTTTTTTTTAAGTTTTCTTACACGCTCTCAAACTTCTCAAATTCTTAGAACATGTTCCAACAATAAGACTATGTAGTCTCCCTCAGTTCTGTGATACAACTGTACTGTGATATTTCAATTTTATGTATCCAAATTTAAGAAAAACAAGTAACTTGTCTAAGGCCTCACAGCCAGTAAAAGTGAAGCCAATTTAAAAAGTATTTGTATACCTTGCTCTTGGGAAAGGAGAAGGAAAGAAAGTACGAGATGGTAGAAACAAAAGAAAGCTTCAAAACTATCCAGTACTTTAGAGTTCTTAGAGTTCAAATCTAGAATGAGTAAATATGTGGCATTAAAAAATTCACTAACAGCCACTTGCTAAAAGCAAAAGCAGCTTTCATTTGAATGACCCCACCAAAAACAAAAATACCTTCTCTGTATCAGTCTGGTAAAAAGGTCTGGGGATAAATTTGCGAATACTACTTGTCAGAAAACAGATGAGAAGGAAACATAATTAAGCTAGAATCAGTAATAAAATGTGAGAAAGAATATTACAGAAAAGTACACATTTTCAGAAGGAGACATATCTAATACAGGGGAAGAAAGAACACACACACAGAAACAAACAAACACAAGCTTTGATCAACACGATCAAGCTCATATGAACTCACAGAGATGGAGGCCGCGTGCACGGGGCTGTGCGGGTCTGCACCAAGTCCTCCTCACCTATATTACAGCTTCCACTTCAGTGTGTTTAATGGAACTCCTGAGGATGCAAATGAGTGGGTCTCTCATTCTTGTGCCCTCCGTTGGTCCCTTTTCCTCCTGTCTGTTCGTCATGCCCAATTCCAATCTGATGGTCTTTGTTTTGTCTTATTATATTTTATTGTGTTATTTTTATTACTATCCCTTAGAAGCCCGTTAGTGATCCAGATGAGAAAGGAGGTGGGGAGTAACTGGAAGGAGTAGAGAGAGGGAAAACTGTAATCAGGATATATTATGTGATATATTTTTTTTGTAATATACATTCAATAAAAGGAAGAAAAGAAAGGTGAAAATAAAGATGTAGTTACAATGTACAGGAAAAGATATTTTACTCCTGAGGCCATAATCAGGGTACGATTGTAGTAAATAGACCGTGTAGTCAAGTAGAACAGGAAGTAGTAGGAGGTGCCTATTCCAGGTGCCGTCTAAGCAAACATGCCTGCTGCGCCCAGTGGCTACCCAGCAACCCAACGCAAACTTCAGGGACCTGAAACAGTAACCGCGGCTTTGTGAGTAGGAAACTCAGGTGGGATCAGTGGTGTGGTTCTCGGCACTCCAGGGACCTCCTTCAGGTGTCTGTGGCCGGCTTCGCCTCCGCTTTGCTGGTGTTGGCCAAGCCTTTCATACAGGTAGAAGCTCAGCACTGCACTCTGTGGGCTTAGTTCACAGTCTGCCACCTGTGCATGAAGTTGTGCTGAAACTGGGCCCTTCTCCTTTGCTTATGTGGCCTGGCCCTTTGGGGGGAGGGGTCGCACATATCTTGTACTTCAGATATTTACATTACAAGTTGTAACAATACCAAAATTACAGTTTGAAGCAGCAGCAAAATAATTTCATGGCTAGGGTCACCACCACATGAGGAACTATATTAAAGAAGGTTGTGAGCCCCTGCTTTGGTCTGTGGCTGTGACCACACAGTAACACACTCGAGTAGCTGCGACAGAAGCCAAGTAACATGCAAAGCTTGAAATATTTGCTGCTTGCAGAGGACCTTCGCTGACCCTCCATTATCAGGTCTTGTTCACATGACAATCTCACTAACCCAGGGAGGGAAACAGAACCTGGAACTTTGTGAGAAGAACATTGCAAGGGGCTGTAAGTTCTAGAGTGGTGAAGGATTGCTTTCAAACGAAAAGAACTTAGAGAAACAGGTAGATGTAGGTCTAGAGTCCACACCTCTATCTAAGACAGCCCCTCAGAAATGCCAGACCTAAGAAGTCCTTGCAGATGTCTAGAGAAGGACATGTCCATAGTCATGTTGTTGGAAACCAATTCTATTTAATTATTAATACTAAACCAAGTTCCTGATAGACTCAGGCAAAAAACAAACAAACAAACAAACAAAAAAACGGATTGTTCATCCAAAACCTTGGCAGCTAGTAACAGGTTTGTGTCTTCTGATTCTTGATCTCTGACCCTGAGAGGAAATAAAGCAAAGGTCCCTTGGATTCTTGAACTCAAGTTGGCTATGTATGGCAAAAATGGATCAAATTTATAGAATGGTTCCAATACAATTTTTCAAATGTTGCTTTTTCCAATAAAAAAGCCCACACAGTGATTCAGGGCCCATATTCATCTCATCTTGAGGATCTCTCATTCCCCAAATGGGTCTTTCTCCTACCAACAAGAGAAAAAAAAAATAGAATATGCTGGCTTTATAACTTTAGGCTCAAATGTGTTTCCTAGAACTTCTATTTTAATCTTTCAATTAAAAAAATCAACAAATGATTGTACCTAAATGCCAGAGAGGGTGTGACAGAGCCCCATAGTGTGCCTGGAAAAACAAAGAATGAGCATTGTGGGGTTTGAACATCTAATCTTCACAGGCACCCTTTTTAGAGCACACACAGACTCCTCTACAAGGGAGATCACCCAAAGCTCACCCAAAGTTGCCGCCTTAGCTCAAAATCTGGAATCTATGCATATTATTATGTCTTTTTATTAGGAATTAGTCTATGGAGGTCAGACAAACATGAATTTTAGACAAAGTAAATGGAAGGGAGAGACAGAGAGACAGAGAGAAACAATGAGACAGAGAGAGATCAAAGCAGGCCATCAAGGTATGACTGGGGTGAGTGGATGAGAGACACACAACCTGCCTGCCTGACCACAACAATGAGCCAAGCTGAGAAACATTTCTCAGCTAGGAACTTCCATGGTTAAACACTGGGTCTCAGTTCTTAGAATAGCCTTGCAACGCAATTGTGTTTGTGAAAATGTTTTCTGGTTCATTAACCTCTGTGATCATCCTTAAAAGCCAGTTGAAGAACATCACCTTCCTGGGGAGCTGGGGTACGGAGATTATAGACTATTCACAGCCTGTTGAGTGCTCATATAGACCATGGACTCAAACATGCTTCTAACAGTCAAACAGCTGAAGAATTTTATGGATAAGTTTAGTATTTCATTGGCAAAGCAATACTGTTTCCTCAAAAAAAAAAATTGTTAGACTTATTTCTGACTTACATACAGTCTAACATCATATGTGAGCTGATTTCATTATCTAGATATAGATTTTAGCCTTGTATTTTGCTAAGTCCTTTGAAGACAAGTCTTTTTTGTGTGTGCCTATGGCACTGGGAATTGAGTTAGGACTTAAGCCTGCTAGGCAGGTGCTCTAATTATGAACCTAGCCCTAGAGGTCTGTCTCTATCTATCACTGCATACTCAGAACTCAGCATGCTGTATTTACCATCATGAATTTGTTGGTGTCTTCTGCTGCTGGAAAAGACAACATGACCAAGTCAACTTTTATAAAAGAAAGCATTTAATTGGGGGCTTGTTTGCAGTGTAGAATCTTAAGCCGTTACCACCATGGGAGGGAGTATGCACTGTGGCACAAATGGCACTAGCTCAGTAGCTGGGAGCTACAACCTGACTTACAAGGAGGGAGAGAGATTGGGCCTGGCTTGGGCTTTTGAAATTTCGAAGACGACCCCCAGTGACACATTTCCTCCAGCAATGCCACAGCTACTTCAACAAAGACATTTTTGAATCCTAATCCTGTGCAATAGTGCCCCTCCCCTTGGCGACTCCCTATTAGCCAATAGGGGCAATTCTTTTTCAAACCACCACAACTGGATATATTTAGTTCCCACAATCAGTGTTTGACAAATAGCTCTTTGACAAGCACTGAGAAATTGAGTGGAACAGGGAACAGAGGCGCAGGGGCTGAGCTGTGGTCTCTATGCCTCACGGTTAACAATATTGGGCACGCTGTGCTTATATCCCATATTATTTTTCTGAGTTGTCTTTTAAATCTGTTTTTGCACTTTTGTGAGGCTTATGTTCATACTTTTAAATTTTTCTTCTCAATCCTTGCAGAAGAAGATAGGGCTAATATTGAGACTATACTTCCATGAGAGGCACACAGGCAGATCTCTGGGGAAGTCTTGAAACTGTAATTGTTATAAGGGTCATAAGATTTGTTAGGAAGGGGCTGGAGAGATGGCTCAGAGGTTAAGAGCACTGTCTGCTCTTCCAGAGGTCCTGAGTTCAATTCCCAGTAACCACATGGTGGCTCACAACCATCTGTAATGAGATCTGGTGTCCTCTTCTGGCTTGCAGGTGTTACATGCAGAAAGAACATTGTATACATAGTAAATAAATCTTTAAAAAAAAAAAAAAAGATTTGTTAGGAAAAGCAGTTACTAGCCAACCCTCATTGTGAGCTATTAAGCAGGGAGTATTAGCAATTTTTCTTGCTGCTGTGGCAAAATATTTGGCGAAAGCAATTTAAGAAAGGAAAGCCTTACTGTTTAGTTGGCCTTACTGCTTTAAGGATACATTGTGTGGTGCCAGAGAAGGATCAGGCAAGGTTAGGAGGCAGCTGGTTGTACTGTATCCACCGTCAGGAAGCAGAGACTAAAACACTGGTGCTCAGCTTGCTTTTTTTTTTTTTTTTTTCAGTACAGGGATTGGGGCCCGCCACAGTTAAACTGGGTCTCACCAGCTAACTTAATCCAATGTAGGAAACTCCCTCACAGATCAAGTTGACAATATTGAGCACAGGGTTATGGCATTCAGAATAGCACATGCTGTAAATGGGTAATATATGTTAGCCCTTTAATCACCAATGCCCACATTAAAAAAATTTTTGATTGTATTGATTGTCCAGTATCTGATGTCACAAAATATCCAAGAAGCCAGAGCTATACGGAGTAAGATAGAATTTCCCTTTAAAACTTGGTAGCTTTGGGGTATGGTGACAATTCACTGCCCATCAGAGGCACTTTGGGGAGTCTCTAAGATACTGGTGCCCTGGGTCTGCTACCTACGCTGAAAGCCCCTCCATGATGCTAACGGCATCTCTCGCTGTTAAAGAGGAAGTGTCTCAGGGCAGAGGGCACTTTGTTTAGTCTCCGCTGCTGTGTGTTGTCGGGCTTTTGTCTGACTTGAGATGTGGAACCGTCTCACGGCTTTCCCTGGTCATGTGTTTGTGAGATGACAAGCTTCCTTTCCTCTGCAGCACATCATGCTCGTACAGCGCCAGATGTCTGTGATGGAAGACGATCTGGAGGAATTCCAGCTTGCTCTGAAGCACTATGTGGAGAGCGCGTCAGCCCAAAGCGGGTGCCTGCGGTAAGTGCTCAAACGCCAGCCTCCACCGGCTGTCCAGGGCTGGCCAGGGTGGGAGTCCCAATCCTCGTGTTAAATTCTACAGAGCAACCCAGCCCTCTGGGTTATGGTATTTGCAGAGTCTAGCAGGATAGTTTCTGTTTGATCTTTGAACCCGAGTTTATTTAATCATTAGGCATACCGAGGGAAATAAAATGAAAAGTCGTCTGAATGTGAAAGGTTTCAAATAGATTGAAATCTCCCCCTTTGCACACAGGCAACCAGCACTCACTGAAATCATCTCAGTAGACAAGGCTTCCCACTCACGGATGTCTTGCCTTGATTACTGTGTGGACTAATGACCCCTCCCACTCTGTGGGAAGAGCAGGGCTCTCCAAAATCATGGTTTCAGACGTCCACTATTTCATAAAATCAGTGGCAAGCATTTCTCTCCTCTCTTCATGCCATGGCTTTCTCTCAGCTGTTATGTAAGACTAATGAACTATGCTACACATCAGCTGTAGTCTCTCAACTACAAGCAGTCCGATAAACCGATCGCAGAACAGTTTCCCGCAAGCAATGGTAGAATTCCTGTCCCGAGGACTCCCCAGTGCTCCTCCATAGTATCCAGTCAAGTGCTAGGTATTTGTGGAGACCTTATGATTGCTCTGCCTTCAGGCCCGGAAGCCCAAACGCACATCATCCACCAATAATAATCAAACATTATCCGCTCCTCCTTACCATACCTCAGACCTGGCCAGCCTCCTCCATAAATATGCAACCAGCTGTTCTCAGGCTGTGCTGGAAGTCTGCCGCAAAGGCCCAAACTTGGCTGGGTTCAGAAAACTTCCACATCTACCCCGACCTGTGAGCTCATTTCAACTTCTTCCTTGACGTTCTTTAAACATTAGCAGATGTGCATTTGTGCGCATAAAAACTCGTGCTTTGTACCTTTATTTTGCTCTTCTTTCCGGTGGTTAATTAAATCCTATTTATGCTAAAACCTACCTTTCAGGCCTTGGAAGTAAGCTAGAATTAAACTGGGATTAAAGCTAGGAATACAGAGTTTTGGGTCTTGGTTATTCTTACTGGCTGTAATCCTCACTTCTTTGTTTTTCATCACCAAGAACCATCTGGAGGCAGGCCCGCTCACACAGGCCTGTGATCCTATCTGCTTGAGGTGGGAAATAACCCGTTCAGGGATTGCCTAGGTGACAGAATGTGTTTAAGTCCTACCTGGGCAATTTCAATGAGACCTTATCACTTGCCTAGCATGTATAACATCCTGAGTTCAACACCTAGTAACATACAAACATGCACACACACACACACACACACACACACACTCAATTTCATAAAATGTTTATGGGAGAGGTACACAGGATAGTATCTTCCATGTGCTGAGAACCATGAAATCTGAGCTGGAGTCACCAATGCCTTCTTCCTGGCTGACCTCCCATCTAGGCACTGTGAGTATCATTAACTCCCCACGACCTCCCAATGTGGCCTTTGTAACAGACCCTAGGCAATGCTGCGCCTCTATGCCTGCTATTCCCCTTCATGTCAGGGTCAGAAGAGCAAAGATAAAAGCGTTTTCACTCTTGGAAGAATTAGAGGTTTGCCAGGGCAGCAATGTATGTAGGTTTTAAAAGCCTACCTGTTTAAAAATAAAACTGCTTAGAAAATGCAAACAGCACCTCTTCAATTGAAGAAAACTGAATTCAGTAAACTCCTTTGAATTAGCAAGGAGCAAAAGAAAAGTCCATGCCAGATTCGCAGGGATTTGGTTAGATGCTTTATGTTTATTAATAGGGCACAAAAGTTGTTAAGGTTCTGAAATACCGTTTTCATGTGCAGTGGGACCTGGGGGTATGAATAGCTCCAGAAAGGAAGAACCTGCTGTGGGTGGGTCAGGAAGCTAGTACATCTGTGATAGCAGGCAGAATCATGAAGGACTGTTCCAGCGATGAGCAGAGGCCAGGAGAACACCCATTTCTTTTTTTTAAAATACTATTTATTATAATTTATTCACATTGTATCCCAGCTGTGGCCCCTCCCTAGTCTTCTCCCAATCCCTCCCTCCCTCTTCTCCCCTTATGCCCCTCCCCTAGTCCACTGATAGGGGAGGTCTTCCTCCCCTTCCATCTGAGCCTAGCCTATATCAGGTCTCATCAAGGCTGGCTGCATTGTCTTTCCCTGTGGCCTGGCAAGACTGCTCCCCCATCAGGGGGAGGTGATCAAAGAGCCAGCCACTGAGTTCATGTCAGAGACGGTTCCTGCTCCCCTTCCTATGGCACCCAGTTGGTGACTTGAATCTATGGACTACATCTAAGCAGCGGTTTTAGGTTATCTCCATGCATGGTTCTTGGTTGTGGGATAAATATACTAAAGTCTATACTCTTAAAGAAGCTAAACAACAAGGAGGATCCTAGGGAAGATGCTCAATTCTTACTCAGAAGGTCAAATGCAATAGAAATCAGAAGCAGGAGAAGACAGGGAACAGGACAGGAGCCTACCACAGGGAGCTTCTGAAAGATTATACTGATCGAGGTATTGAAGCAGAGGCTGGGACTCACAGCCAAACTTTGGGCAGAGTGCGGGGAATCTTATGAAAGAAGGGGGAGATAGAAAGACCTGGAGGGGACAGGAGCTCCAGAAGGAGACCAAAAAACTGGGCCCTGGGAACCCTCAGAGACTGGTGCCTCAACTAAAACCCATTTCTTAAAAGGATAGACTCTCTGCATCGCCTTTTCCTTCACAACACTGCTGTGTTTCTTAGCGATGCTTCATCCACCTACGGCATACTCTGCAGCTAGTGTTCTTTGAAGCAATCATCAGGGTGTATACAGATGTAGTAAGTATCCGAAAATAAGCACCCAGGTGGAACACTAGTAGAAGAGACTCGGCCCGTCTATATTCAGCTTTTCAGATGAACAGTTTAATCCGTTCCAGTTCTCTACTTGTTGACAAATCATCAAATGCCACGCACCTCAGCAGCTGTGATCCTGTATACCCTCCACAGCTGCCTAGTGCTGGGCTGGTGAAGCTATGAGTTAGCAAAGATTCGCCTCCCATAATCCTTAGCACCATCTCCCATAAGGCATAGCTAAGCCTCACCACGCGAGAAGCAAAGTGCTGCCGCCGGGTGATGCTTTCCAAGACTAGCAACTTTGCATCCACTTTCTCATTTACTTTTCAAGGGACTCATTACAGGCTTATAATGTGTCCAGCTTAGAAAAAAAGCAGCCTGTGGTGTGTTAAAAACTTGCCCAAGCTTCACTCAAAACCACGTTTAATCTTCCTTGTCGGGATTGAATCATGGTTGAATTAAAGATTCCTGAACGCTTTGTGGCTAACTAGGGGTGGGATGTACGATCCTTCCTGTTCCAGTCCTATCAGTAATAATCTTGTTACATTCAGGCAACTGAATTAGTTCCTTTGCTCTGAGGATTCACTGAGAAATTCGGAAGTTCGAGGGCTGACAGAGCTGTGCTATAATGTCAGTGATGCTTTTAAAGACTTGTGAGGGCTAGCAACGTGGCGCAGGCGGCAAAGGGGCCTGCGGTCACGTCCAGTGACCTGAGTTTGATGGGATCCGCATGGTGGGAGAGGAGGACTGACTCCCACAGCTTACCTCTGACCTCCACAGTCCCAGCTTGGAGAGCATGCCTACAGACGCGCACGCGCGCACACATTTGGAGAAAACCTCCGGCAGCTCATTATGTGAGTTGCTCTACCACGATACGCCATAGGCCGCTCACTTTCTCAGAGGTTACAGACGGTCGATGCCTTCTGTGAGAGCGCCACCAGAGGGATGAGGGGCATACACAGTGTGCTCTTAGAATCGGCCTCCACTCCAGGCGGGAAATGGTTTCTGCCTTCAGTGATTTCATACTCCAACTTTGAAAACAGAATTCTTCTCATGGAGAGCAATTCAAATCACACTCTTGTCCTAAGATTCTACAGTTTTTCAGTTGAACTAAGTGATCTCTGAGGCTACTCTCAGCTACAGAATTCTATAAATTGAATATGTACATATTTCCAGTATCAGGGGCTCAAGAGACATGGCTGGATTAAATTGTAAGACTCGCTCTTAAGACACCCTTAAGAATCAGTGGGGTGCATTGAAATATTAGTCATCAATCCCTGTGGATAAAATGAAATCTGGTGGCCAAACCCAGACCTCTGTGTATGCAAATGTGGGGAGTTATGTCCCTCATGTTACAACTTTATTTTCATTGGTTTGGCCCGATGTTTTAAGCAGGGCAGGCGCGAAGATAAGGAAGGAGGCCCGGAGGAGGCGAGGGTCCTCTCCAGTCCTCACAGAACCATTTTTCAGAGGAGGAGAGCCATGGTTGAATGAGTTCTGCTGTTGTCGTTGTGGCTTCGTTCCCTAGTCCCCTATCATAGCATGCTACCCTTCCTCTCTAATCCCTGACACAGGGAGGGACTATCAATGAGGTGCTCCCATGCCTGAGAGAAAGCTCCCCAGTTAGCCAAGGCTGGCCTCAAACTTAAGCTCCTCCTGCGTCTGGAGGAGATTCTGGAGTTACAGGTCTATAGGCCTTTCCATGGTTAGTCCAGAACATGTAACCGTTCTTATAGTACGGTAACTGGGCGTTTAATAGAATGAGTAATATTAACAACAAGTTTTCAGGAGGCAACTGGTGAGGACTTAAAATGCGTTTTAATCTTTATCCTAAAGAAAGTAAAGTTGAAATTTGACCGATACACTATTAGGGCGCCATCAAGAACCTAAATAAGCTATAGATTCTCTTCCCAGAAAGAAATGTATATATATGCATATACATTAATTTGCATATATATACCTTGGAGATTTATGGAAAAAGTCACAAGCTTACCCATGGACTTCTAGGGTAAGAAAATTACAAACTCCCTGTTGTTCCAAAGGATCATATAGCAAATACTTATTCAGAGAAATCTTAAATTAAACTAGTAACATTAGCATATTATTAATAGTAAACCAAATTATACAAAAACTGAAAATTACAACACTATAAAAATAAAAGAAACAAAATGCCCTTTGTTCATGCTCCACGAGGCCATGAGCAGGATCTTTTTAAACTCCTTGTGTAGTTACTGCCACCTGCTGGTCACAAATAGATAAATCCTAAACCTGCCCCGATTATTTCATTGGTAGAGCCTTAAATATATTATGAAACATTAGACTAAAAAGAGGTCATTAAGAATTCAGTTTTAACGGTATATACTCACTTATATAGACCTATAAGATATAATAAACATAATGAAATCTGTACACCTAAAAAAGATAATCAAGAGAGTGGACATGGGGTAAGATGATCAATCCTCGTTTAGAATGACAGATGGGATGTGCATTGAACGTATGACAGGAGTCTACTGAGCACATTGGAAAGACTCTAACTAGCAGTGTTTTCAAAGCAAAGACTCATGACCAAACCTTTGGCAGAGTACAGGGAATCATAAGAAAGAAGGGGAGTTAGTCTGATGAGGAAAGGATAGGAGCTCCACAAGGACCAAATATATCCGGGCACGGGGTCTTTTCTGAGACTGACATGCAACCAAGGACCATGTATGAATGTAACCTAGAATCTCTGCTCAGATGTAGCCTGTGGTAGCTCAGTAACCAATTGGTTTCCCATAGTGAGGGGAACAAGGACTATTTCTAACAGGAACTCAATGACTGGCTCTTTGGCCTCCCCACCCCCCAAGGGAGGAGCAGTCCTGTTAGGCCACAGAGGAGAGCTTTGCAGCCAGTCCTGAAGATACCTGATAAAACAGGATCAGATGAATGGGGAGGAGGTCCCCCCTATCAGTGGACTTGGCAAGGGGCACAGTGGAGAGGAGGGAGGGAGGGAGGGACTGGGAGGGAATGAGGGATCGGGACACGGCTGGGGTACAGAGTTAATAAAATGTAACTGATAAGAAAAAAATAAAATACAAGAAAAAAAAAAGTTCATCCCATGGCACGAGGTATTAGGCCAATGTTTAATCTTTATGTTAAAAATAAACAAGTATGCTCAAATTGTCAAAAAAAAAAAAAAAGAATTCAGTTTTATGCACATCTCACTTCTGTCTTTTCCTACAAAGGCCATGACTTCATGGACATGTCCCTCTGTTCTTCTGTTTCAGTATTGATCTGGATCCTCCTCATCTATTTTACTACCTGTCCAACTCTTCTCTGTGTTTTACATGACTGTACTCTATTTTGCTCCACGTTACCATGAGTAGGATATTTTTTGAAATTTTTAAATTAATTTTGATGTAATAGATGCTTAGTAAAACTTCTGACTGGAGCTGGAGAGAGCGCAGTGGTTATGAGCACTGGCTGCTCTTCTAGACGACCCAGGTATCCTCATGGTGGTTTACAGCTATAACCTCAGTTTCAAGGGAATCTGATACCCTTTATGGCCTCCATGGACACCAGGCACCAAGCATGTAAATGGCGCACAGACATACACACAACACAAAATAGATAAAAATAAAAAAATAACTTTGAATGATTGTTCAAAGATCTTAAACTAAACATTACATGTCAAAATAAACACCCTAAACTACTTAGTTCTTGATGAGGACATTGGATATTCTTCCTGGCTTAGGTTAATTTGTTTCCTAGACATATATGTAACATTGTTGCATAGTACAATAAGAGATTAGAAAATTTGTTGTGTGTGTGCGCGCACGCACACATGTACACAGGTGGAGGCTTGAGGCTGTTGGGAGTCTTCCTTCATTGCTCTCCACATTATTCTTTGAGGCAGCTTAGCCAGCTTGCAGTGATGATCATGCTTTGCCCCTGAGTCCTCTCTCTACCCCTCCTTTTGCTTCTTTAATTTCCAGGACCTGACAATTCCTTTTCTGTTTCAGTATTTCTATACAGAAGCTTTCAAATGAATCCCGCTACATGATTTATGAATTCTGGGAGAACAGCAGTGTGTGGAATCGGTAAGTAGGGAGGAAAATGACTTGTTTTACTGAGTGTGGAGCATGGCAGTGTACATGATGAAACTTTTAAATGGTTAGAAATGCTTTATTTTGTGGTAGAGATTGAACCAGGGGCTTTGGGCGTGCCAGGTAAGCACTCTGTCACTGTTCTATCCCAGCTTCCTGGTAAGTTTATGCGCTAAAACCAGGTCTGATTGGTTGTCCAGGCTGGTCTTTCATCATCCCTGTGGCCCAGTCAGGCCTTGAATTTGAAATGCTTTTGCTTCAGCTGCAAGCACCAGGATTCCAGACCTGTACCACCAGGTCTGCGGTGTTTACCTCATCTTAAAACTTGCTTTTCCCTGTTACACTGAATCCTACGCTCTTATTTCATAGCTTTGAATACTGATCCCACTTTGAGTCTCTTCGTTTTACTGATGCTCTCAATGAAGCAGTTAGACAAGTGTGGTGGTTTCAATAGAAGTGCCCCTCACAGACGCATGTTTGCATGCTTGGCCCATAGGCAGTGGCCCTGTTGGGAGGTGCGGCCTTGTTGGAGGAGGAGTGTCACTGTGGGGATGAGCTTTGAGCTCTCATATCCTCAGGCTACTCAGTATGGTACACTTTCGTCTGCCTGTGGATCAAGATGTAGAACTCTCAGCTCCTTCTCCAGCACCATGCTTACCTGCAGGCCACCATGCTTCTCTCCATGATGATAGATAGACTAACCCTCTGAACTGTAGGCCAGCCCTGATTAGATGTTTCCTTTATAAGAGCTGCTGTGGTCATGGTGTCTCTTCACAGCAATGGACCCCCTAAGACCAGGGTCATGGGTATATCAGGAAGGAGAACTGATGGGGCATGAAGCTTCATAACATATAAGCTCTATTAATGTTGTTTTATTTAAATTTAAAACTATACACAGTGGCTAATATAACTTTTTAAATGTCCTCAAACATTACAGGTAAAGGAATGAAAGACATTAGAAAAGCTTACAAACCAACTTTAGTAAAAAAAAAAAAAAAAAAAAAAAAAAGTAACCATCATAGTAATATTGCTAACAAATAAATTTTAAATGAGATGAAATTTTTTCTTCTATCACATATAGTTCCTGATTTTAGGTAATGCAGAAAATATAGCTCTCCAGTAATCAGTGTTTTAGGATACTTAACTTTGATAATAAAAGTAAGAGAATGGTGGAAAATTCAACTGATTGGTATTTCACCTGAAATCTTTATTTTTGTGGCTTCAAGGAACAGTCTTGGGATGTAGCTCAGTGTCAGAGTGCTTGCCCAAAAACAAATAATTGAAGCATTTTGTGCAATAAGAAAGACACAATGGCAACAACAGTATTTCAGGTAGAGATCCTTCAAGGCAACTCCAAGAGTAAGGCCTTTAAAGACAGTTTAAGTCCCATTTTATTCTCTACTCACAGAAAATTTACAGTTCCTGTCCTTAGATATTCTGTTCTTTAAACATGAAGATATTAAGATACTGTCATCTGTAAAATTCTGGAATCTAGCCTACCTCCTATTGCTGAATGTTTTTTGTATACTTATCTTAAGTGCCTTTTCTTCTAAGTTCCTGATGACATTTTTTGCTCTCCATGTCCTGTTGAGGACAAGAGTCAAGAGCAGACTGTGTCTGGACATTCACTCTGAGCCACCCCACCAAAGCTCGGTATATTGGATAAATCTGAGCTCGGCTGGACTCTACTTAGGAGGCTCTAAATAAAAACATACAGCCTTAACCTGTAATTGCTTCACAGCCACCTCCAGACAAGCTACAGCAAGACATTCCAAAGAAGCAACGTGGATTTCCTGGAAGCTCCAGAGCTCACATCTACCATGCTACTTCCTGGTAACTGCCGGAGCATGCCTCACGCTTCTGTGTGCTTTCCTACTGCCTGCTCTTTCGCTTTGTTTTGTTTATTTTTTAAGATAGCATGATCGCCCACACTTTATCAGTGACGTTTTCTTTACTGTTCCTATTGTTTACAATTGGGAAAGGGGGAAGAAATATTTTATTATCTTTTGTCCTTAATTACTTTGTTTCTAGATACATTAAGCCTAGTACTGGTAACTAGTTGGGCACCATAATTTTTGCAGATAAATTCTTAAATAGTGTAAGTCTACCTTAAAAAACTTACTCATATGCCTTACTCTATTAAATTTAGTATGCTGAATGCAATTTGAAATGTGCCCATAGGATAGGGGTTAATATTATGTTAGAAAAGCTCGTTGTAAGAGGTGATTGTGTTGGGGAGACATGTTTGGAAGGAACGATTGCTAAGAAAGTTCATTTGCTCCCTGCCCACCCACCTGTCACTAACCGCACACACACTGAGCGATAATGTGGGCGTGGCAGTGCGTCCAGGGATATTTAGCCTCTTTCCCAGCACTGGTTGGAGTCCTGTTCTGACCAAGCATTTTGCTAGGAGCCAACTGGGAACAGAGCGAAAACACAGCCTCTAAGGATAATGTGCTATCTATCCAGTTTGACAAATATATATATTTACAAAGGGCACACATTTACACAAAAACAAAACACACTTCCAGGTACAAGACAGTAGTTATCACTAGAGACAGCACCTGTTTTGTAGACTTGAAGTTATCTTTTTCCACTTGAAGGTGAATAGTATCTTAATTAGGTATATGAACAGCAAATTAGAGTTCTCAAGGTTTTGTAAATGGAAAGCATGTTCCAATCATTAACATTTGACATCTGGGACAAAAGCAGTCATCATGGAGTGGGGACTGACAAGAAGGACAATGACACAGGCTGGGGAAGAAAAGAATGTACACCAAGAGCCTGCTGGGATTCCAGCCTCAGATGCACAGCAAGATGAATTCTGAGTGAAGACAGATAAGAACAGAACACTGGAGAGGATCCTGGAGAAATTTTTCTGTAAAGCCTTGCAGAGGAAGAAGAAACCTCAACATAAAACCAGACACACACTAAATCTGTTAGAAGAAAAAGTGGGGAAGAGCCTTGAACTCATTGGCATAGGAGACCACTTCCTGAACAGAACACCAACAGCACAGGCTCTAAGAGCAACAATCAATAAATGGGACCTCATGAAACTGAAAAGCTTCTGTAAAGCAAATGACACTGTCATCAGAACAAAACAACAACCTACAGATTGGGAAAGGACCTTCACCAACCCTGTATCTGATAGAGGGCTAATATCCAGAATATATAAAGAACTAAAGAAGTTAAAAAGCAACAAATCAAGCAATTCAATAAAAAAATGGGGTACGGAGCTAAACAGAGAATTCTCTGTAGAGGAATATAGAATGGCAGAGAAACACTTAAAAGAAATGCTCAATGTCCTTAGTCACCAGGGAAATGCAAATCAAAACAACCCTGAGATTTCACCTTACACTCATCAGAATGGCTAAGATCAAAAACTCGAGTAAAAACACATGCTGGAGAGGTTGTGGAGAAAGGGGAACCCTCCTCCATTGCTGCTGTGAATGTAAACTCCTAGGCATATATCCAAACTATGCTCAAGTACAGAACAAGGACATTTGTTCAACCATGTTTATAGCAGCTTTATTCATAATAGCCAGAACCTGGAAACAACCCAGATGTCCCTCAACGGAGGAATGGATACAAAAACTGTGGTACATTTACACAATGGAATACTACTCAGCAATTAAAAACAAGGAAATCATGAAATTTGCAGGCAAATGGTGGGATCTAGAAAAGATCATCCTGAGTGAGATATTCCAGAAGCAGAAAGACACACATGGTATATACTCACTTATAAGTGGATATTAGACATATAGGATAAACATACTAAAATCTGTACACCTAAAGAAGCTAAGCAGGGAGGAAGATGCTGGGTGAGAGGATCAATCTTCATTCAGAAAGGGAAGCAGGACAGACATTGGAAGAGGGAGAAAATAGGGAACAGGACAGGATCCTACCACAGAGGACCTCCGACTTTACCCAGCAGGGTATCAAAGCAGATGCAGAGACTCATAGCCAAACTTTGGGCAGAGTGCAGGGAATCTTAAGAAGGGGGAGATAGTAAGACCTGGAGAGGACAGGAACTCCACAAGGAGAGCAACAGAACCAAAAAAATCTAGGCACAGGAGTCTTTTCTGAGACTGATTCTCCAACCAAGGACCATGCATGGAGATAACCTAGAACCCCTGCTCAGATGTAGCCTATGGCCCCTCAGTGTCCAAGTGGGTTCCCTAATAAGGCGACCAGGGACTGTCTCTAACATGAACTCAGTGGCTGGCTCTTTGATCACCTTCCCCGAGAGGGGAGTAGCATTGCCAGGCCATAGAGGAGGACATTGCAGCCAGTCCTGATGAGACCTGACAAGCTAGGGTCAGATGAAAGGGGAGGTGGACCTCCCCTCTCAGTGGACTTGGAGAGGGGCATGAGAGGAAATGAGAGAGGGAGGGGGCTACAGCTGTGATACAAAATGAATAAACTGTAATTAATATAAAATAGAAAAAAAAGACCAAGGACACCATCCAAGGAAGAAGACTCAGAACAAGATATCAGGGTAGAATACAAAAATACTGTGCTCCTGGGGGCATTCATGGTGATGTGACTGGAGAAAAAAATGGCAGAGGAAATTGGATTTGACCTCGAAACAAGGGAAGAGTCTTAATGGAGTGGCAGGGATTTGAAACTGAAGTAGATTTTGATGCACTGAGGGACAGATGGGAGATAAGGCAATAATGTCTGGAGCTGCAGCTGGTAGAGGAGACAGGTAGCCAGGTGGGATAGCTTTCAATTTAGCTGTCCTCCCAGTCTAAGGGAATGCAGCTTTGGTGTGACACTAGAGCTTCCAGGCGACGGGAGCAGAATTTCTCGCGCTGTGTAGCTGGCTTACTCCTCAAACAAAGAAGCCATGCTCGTTGCTCAGGTTGTCTGGTCCCACGCAGTGCCACAGGCGGGGAGGGTGGAGAAAGAGAAACAAACTGTTTTGGAGGAGACTGCAGCAGCTACATTCCATTTACTGGCAAAAGCTTAGCTTCACCGTTACATCAAGTGTGCGCTGGCTGTTCTACATAGGTTCAGCCTACAGTACAGATAAATGTTGCAGATACGACAGACTGTGGCCTCTGTTGATAGAATGTACAAAAACAGGGATGACATTTATCTCACCTTCTTAATGCCGCTCTGCTGGTACATGACACAAGAGGAAAACTTTTCTGAAAGAATAAAGACTTTCCATATCACAGTTGTACTGATAATAGACATGTGAATCCCCAAAGTCTCTAATCAATATTTTTGTGTTTGCCATCAGATCCATTTTCAATTCTCCCAATACTAAACCCACTGGCTTAAAAACGGGAAAGCACTGCTTATTCATATTGGAGTCTTAGGTCTACCCAGGTTAGAAATTATGTGAGCAAAGTTAGAGTAGAAAAATACAAGGAGAGACCTGTCAGTTAATAAGGGGGAGAAATGTTGTCGTGAGCACTGTAACCTGTAGGTTTTCTGGTGCAGCTTCATCATTACTTTGGATGAACTTTTGATGTGATGAAATATTCCACCATTGATACATGCATTACTCCCTTCCACTGTCTTTCATTATTCTCTAATTTACAGAAAAAAAAATGGGGACAAATAAAACTGAATCAACGGTTGTTCTTAGAGGCTGAACCTCATGCAATTTAATTTTTGTCCAAGTCACATTAATTTGCCTATCACACCTAATCTCAACAATGATAAATGGAACTTAACAAGACATAAATAATGGCTAGGGTTGGCTTCTAACAAAAATTTTAACATCCATTGCAGCGGCTCAATCTCTTTTAAAGCTTCCTAGGTGTGACTGCACAAACATCAGCAATTAGTGTCTAGATATTACGTGGAGTCGTAATGGCCATACCTCTTCTAATGCCAGCTTCATGACCAGGTTTTTGAATTTTGTATGTTATACCACATTGAAGGTTAGAAATGAAAATAAGGCCACTGTCACTGCACAAATTTAAGTCTAAAATGTGAAAATGGCAGCTATGGCATTCAGAAACACAGAAATATGACATATTTCAAGTAAGCCAAATACCATCTAGTCAGAACTACACAAACCAAACAAAGTTTATCCCTCAAAGCTGGAAAATCCAAAAGTCAATTGAAGCATGCTTGCTGCTATACAGCAATGCAACCATTAACCATCATAACCCACGCACACAACAAGAGTTTAATTACTCCCCTCAGGACCAGAATACCCTTGCCATTATAAAGGAAAGAAGGAACACAAGAAAGTAAGGTCTGAGTGCAAGCAATTCAACTTTAAAAACAACTCCTTTTATCTGCCTTTTTACCAAGGCATGCCAGTAACCATACTTCTTTACCATAGGTTATGTTTAGGTGTTTATATTCATTGGGGAATATATTTCTAGTGTTCAATTATAAACACATTAAAAACTGTATAATACATCCATCTGCTTAAATTCAAACTTCCTGAAACATATATTTAGAAGTATCTTTTGTTATTTCCTAACAACTGCTAGTACTGGGCATATTGCAACATTATTCGACATCAGGGCATTTATAATCTTGTTACTAAGACAAACCCTATTCATATATAATATTTTTTAAAAGTCTTAGACAACAAAGTATAAAAACCCACAGTATAATTACACAGTAAAAACTCAATGTCCCAAAGCGTCTAAAATTGAAAACTAGACCAACAGTTATGCAAAGTGAAGATGAAGGGAATGATCTCTTTACAGTTTGGACTTTCTCTGCTCTCAAAACACACTTTCATTATTTGTTTTTGTTTTTTTTTCTCTCATTTCAGCCTCCTGGTGGATCCTGAACAACAATTAGATGTCCCTGCACCACGTCTTTATTGTTCCGAGTTCAAGTGTTCTTCTCTAAAATGTCAACTGGAAAGTTCTGTGGTTGTCAAGCTGCTGCACACTTTTGTTCAATGTTATCAGTACATCTTCTGAAGTGTATTCTGTAGCTATCTCAGTAGCTACTCTTGGTATTTGATGCTAATTGACTTGCTATACTGTAATCAATCATTATAGCAAAATCCTAATATATGAAATTGGCACATAAAGTAATAAAATGTGACAATTCTTGTAAAAATGCTAAGTGAGAACATCATATCATAGGGCAGGGTTTGTCCACTGCTCTAAAGTGGTGGTTCTCAACCTTCCTAACGCTGTACCCTTTAATACTGTTCCTCGTGTGGTGACCTCCAACCATAAAATTATATTGTTGCTACTTCATAACTACAATTTTGCTACTGTTATGAATTATAATGTAAATAAATATCTTATATGTAGGATATCTGATATGCTATCCCCAAAGAAGTCATGACCCACAGGTTGAAATCCACTGCTCTAAGGATTATATCCATGCTTTGTGACTTTTCAGTAACACATTTTTGTGAGAAAAACATTCTTTTTCAGTAAGTTCCACATGGCCCTCCAACTATTCTCCATATAATTCCTTTAACATTAATATAAATGCACAGAACAACCTAGGCTATATCCTGTAGAAGCTGTTCATGTGTCATGTTGTAAACTGGTATTTTGGACAATCTATAGTAACTTACAGCATTTACTACTGTGACACCTTTTTTGTTAGTATTATAATCTCATATATAAGCTAGACATTATTGAACCAAGAATAAAGCTTTACTTTGAGGAAGTTAATGTTTATGTCAGAAGCCTTTAAAATATGATCCATATAAATAACTAATCTTATGAAAAATGAACACTTGAATTTAAATGAAGATTTTTTAAATTCAGTACTTTAAAACTAAAATTTCAACTCAACTGAATAAGGAAATTTAAAACAAGGACAAAGCTTTAGAACTGATTATACCTACTTTGTATACTTTCCTATTGTGACTAAGACAAATGACTTTTCTGCCATTCTCTACAAACTCTGGTTATAGACTCTACTACGAGAATACACATAGAACTATTGTCATGTTACACTCTCATACAAACGCCTTTGAAATTCTGGGCTTGAGGGAAAATACATGTAAAATATTATAGTATTTTTAACAATTGGAAAACTTAGGGAAAGAGAAAGCTTGGATGAAAATGTCATTTTATAAATATGAGACTTGATCTAGAAATATTGTCTCAAAATAGTTTATGGAACATTGATTTACTGAATACTGTTGTATAATTTCAGTCCACTTCAATCTTATATAAAATTGCATAGTTTGTTAGACCAAACTGGAAACTTTTTACCCACACAGACTCATGTGTATGTGTGTGTGTGTGTGTGTGTGTGTGTGTGTGTGTGTGTGTGTGTGTATTCGAATCTTACGATGACAAGCACTATGAAACAACTCTTGTTACAGGAGTGCATGAACGAAGTAAGACAGCTACTGCCAAGACAAACTGCACATGTGTGAAAGCAGGGAGGAGCAGAGCAGTCTCTGGCCTCACTGAGGTTACTCACACTCAAGTTCTGAAACCCAGGGGACTTCCGACATACAAATGCTTCTTGGAAATGCTGGCGAATAACGCTTTCAAATTACAGATTACAACCACTCAAAACATTGTCTCAAATGGCCCACTTCATATCCAACCCAAAAATCCTATCAAGTGTTTTATACACTAGGTAGTTTTCAACGTAGCAGAGTAGTACAACTGAAGAGGCTCTGCCCAGCAACAGGCTTCAGACAAAGGCCCCCTGGTTACAAATTTTCATGAGTTTTGTAAATATATTAAACTAGAACCAAAGGACTTGAGAAAAAAGCAAATTAACCAATTTAGCTCTGATAATTCTGATCTCATCTATTATATATATATATATTTATAAGTATGTTTAAGTGTGTTTGTATGCAAGTGACTATATATGATAAATACATACACATACTGATTCCTATGACCAAAAAAAAGGAAAACAGTAGGGGGCAACACACACACAGACTCACACACCAATGATGCAATAGTATAAATATCTCATTTTCAAACAAGCAATAAATTTATGAAGGGATTTTTTCTCTATTAAAAAGTAAACCTTTCAAAAAAAAACAAACAAACAAAGTAAACCTTTCCCTGAGAATCAAAGTAATGAACAAGAAGCTAGGAAAAGACCAAGCTGGAAAAATCTGCTGTGGACTAAGCATTAGAACCTGGACAACAAGCATCCCCAAAGCAGCAAACCGGAGGCGCTGGTTTTAGGAAGTCACAGTCAGGGAGAGACAACATTTCTGATCACAGACAGTCTTGAGTAACTTGCCAGTGATCCAGAACACAAGAGAGTAGAAGCAGTGAGTTTACTTACCTTTTCTGACATGTTACATTGCCATTTTTAATTCCTAGGAAATAAAAGCTTAAACCTCCAAATTCTTTATCCATGTATATGAGAAATTACAGAATTGAAATTTACTGTACCTTAACTATTTGCAAATGCCTGAATTTTCCCCTCTTGGAAACAATTTCAACTTTATTTTCCAACTGCTTGACTCTCAATCATAGAGTCTAATGAGGAGCATTAAGTATCAGCTATTTTTCAACTTCTATTTCATTAACTACCTTTCCACATGTCCATCTCTGCTAGTAGTTATGAGCCTAAGATCACACTGTTGCTAAGAACCCATGGAATCAATTATGTGTCTGAACTGCCCATTAGAAAGTCTCCACCCCTGCCGCTGACAACTAGGCTTTAAACACCCGGAATCATTCAGGCGTCTGCACACTTCGTAATGATCTGTCCGAGTGCTGGTGTGAAATCAGTGGGAAAAAGAACAAGTGACTTCGACTTTAAGGACAACAAAAATTTTGTACCATATATACATCGTAGCAAATACTTTATATTTGAGAATCTTTACAGCTTACATTTCCATTCCATTATTACAAGTGGTGAAAAACAAGAATTGCAAGTAGCATGCAGATTATAATACAGTCTTCCCACTTCGTCAACAACATCCCCACTTTCGAGTGTTACTTCCCAATTTTGCAGGAACTGCCTGAAAAGCTGAAACTGATTAGAAAAATTCTTTATAGTTTAAAATATCTCTTTCTCCTTTTATGAGAAGCCAAATAGCCAACCATCAAAAGTAAAAATAAATTGAATCGTCAGAGTCCATTAGTTATTGTTACTAGGTCCACTTCATTTGCAGGTGTCCAAAATATAAAATGAATAATTCTTTATCTTCAAATTCATCTGTTCTTAAAATGCTACTTAAAGCTTTGGTTGTTTTCCTGTAATATAGAAGAAAGATAAATTATCAACTAGACCAGCTAAATACAGCTTTCACAAATTAGCTTATTCAACCAAGTACTGTGAATCTACTATCTAAGTGCATGTTACTGTAGAAACTATTGAAGTGACTGGAACCATAGACGCACTGTGTCTCAGTGAACCTATGTAATCCATTTTTAATATAGGGAATTTTATTCCAAGTCTCTTGTTCTCTTCCTGTAGTGCTCAGCTTTTTAAATGTTGTTAATGCATAAATTAAAAGAGATTCTATTGTATGCTTATTCAGAATAAGTTTTTCAAGCTTTTATTGACAAAATAAAGTGTTAATGGATTATTTAAGCCTGAAAATAAAAAGTGGTTGTGTTTTATGTATAACTAAAATTTATATTTATTCTTACAGACCAAGAAATTATGTGTTCCCTTAGATCTTCAAACAGGTGAGAAAATTCAAGTATCTAATACATTTTTCTTCACCAAATATTCCTTTCTTAAAAGTATTATAGAAAAAGTTGCTTTCAGATTTAATTAAAAAAAATGGCTACTGAGCTAGTGAGATGGTGCAGTGGTAAAGGTGCCTGCCGCTAATCTTGATGGCCTGAGTTTGATCCCCAGCATCTACATGGTGAGAAGAACAAACTTTTTTTAAAGGTGTATTTATACATATGTGTGCTCTATTTGCATGTATGCCTGCATGACAGAAGAGGACATCAGATCCCATGTATAGATGGTTGTGAGCCACCAAGTGGTTGCTGGAATTGAACTCAGGACCTCTGGAAGAGCAGCTGGTGTCTTAACCACTGAGCCACCTCTCTAGTTCCCACATTCAAGTTGAAAGTGTTGTTCTACTCTGTATATTGCCAGTTTAATCTCGGACTGTAACTTACTGTGACCCCACTTTTTGCAACTGAAGATAAGGATGATGATGCTGTGTGGCTGGGGTTAAGTCAAGCAACATAAAAATACAAGTCAAGTGCCTATCGGTCATTCTGCACTCAGTAACTTACTTCTGTTCTTTTGGTCTTACTAACCTTTGACTTTTTTGTTTTGTTTTTTTTTTTAACTATTTTCTTTAGGTAAAGAACAGTAATTTTAAGGGGAGACTCCGCGCACAAGTGTGTTGACACGCGCTCCACCTCAAGCTGTGGAGTACTAGCTTCCCTTCCTATTTATGGAACTTTAAGCCTTGCAAATCCAAAAAAAAAAGAGAGAGAAAAGGGAGATATATTTAGTAGTTTGGCATGGAAATATAAGAAGCTACGTAGCAAAGCAAAGATATAACAGGAATAACGTGTATAAAAAGACTAACTGAACCGAACAGAAGCCTACAACCCCCACGTCATATGTTATAAATTCCAGATAGATTACAGAACCTAACTGAAAACAGATAGAACTTTTAGACTGCAGGATGGTATTTTCATAATCTTTTAGCAGACAAGTTTTGTTTTGTTTTGGTTTTGGTTTTTGGTTCTTTTGAGGCAGGGTTTCTTTGTGTAGCCCTAGCTGTCCTGGACTTGCTTTGTAGACCAGGCTGGCCTCAAACTCACAGAGACCCACCTGCCTCTGCCTCCCCAGTCCTGGGATTACAGGCATGTGCCACCTCACTTGGTTAGCAGAAGAGTTTTACATACAGAAAATCAAAATTATTCTCGTCTATCCTTGAGTAGAATGATTATTTTTTATTATTGATTTTAAGTATACATTTAAATTTTTGTGCTTTTGTATGACCATTACCTTATAATACAGAAAGTTAAAATACTTTTAAAATATAAAGACTAATACCTGGAATACAATTTTGCAACAAAAAATATCAGAAAACTCACTGGTTTTTGAAGTACAATGGGATGATCAGGCAGAAAGTCTGGTTTTTTTCTGCAGATGGAAACACTTGAAAGCTTCAACAAGAAATCTCTGCTGTATTTAATTCTCTCTGCAGATATTAAATTTTAAACATAATTATAAAACTATACTATTCTAGATAACTTTTTAGCTCAGTTTTTAGATGTCTCTAACTGGTCCACTATTTTATTAAATGGCATCTAGTATCTGTTGAAAAGATAGGGGAGAAATAGATTAAATCCTTTCACATGGAAAGGAAGCCACATAAGAAAAAAGAAATGGGGGGTAGTTAACATGACCTGGAGAGGACAGGTGTTCCACAAGGACCAAATATATCTGGGCACAGGAGTCTTTTATGAGACTGTTTCTCCAAACAAGGACCATGTATGGATGCAACCTAGAGGCCCTGCTCAGATGTAGCCCTTGGTAGCTCAGTATCCAAGTGGGTACCCTAATAAGGGGAACAGGGACTATTTCTGACATGAACTCGATGGTGGGCTCTTTGACCCTCCTCCTCAGGGAGAAACAGCCTTGCTAGGCCACAGAGGAGGACTTTGCAGCCTGTCCTGAAGACACCTGATAAACCAGGGTCAGATGTAAGGGGAGGAGGTTCTCCCTTATCAGTGGACTTGGAAAGGGGCAGGGAGGAGATGAGGGTGGGAGGGTGGGATTGGGAGGGAAAGAGGGAGTGGGATACAGCATGGATACAAAGTTAACAAATTGTAACTAATATTAAAAAAATAAAAATTAAAAAAAGGAAAAAGGAAGAACGAATCATTTCAAAAAATAGGTAATGTAATATATAGCAAGGCAGCCAGATATTATAAATTATAAGAGCATGACCAATAGGTATTAATATCTATTGTAACATTCAGATCTTGTCAAAATGTAATCACAATGAGCCAATCTAATCTCAGTCCATACGGAAATTTTAAAACAATCAAACTTATTTTAAAAAACATTTCTGCGTACTGTATATCAAGAATCATGCTAGGTCAAATGTTCTCAACCTGTGGGTCGCGACCCCTTTGGTGGTCAAACAACCTTCTATGGCGATGCATATCAGATATTTGCATTACAAATTAATTTCATAATACTAGAAAAATTACAGTTATGAAACAGCAACAAAATAATTTTATGGTTGGAGGTCACCACAACATGAGGAGCTATATTAAAGGGTCTCAGCTTTAGGAAGGTTGAAAATCACTATGCTAGGTGATGATAAAGAGATCCAAGACAGGGTCCTTAATTTCTAGCCAACCAACTATTCAAGTATCTGCTAATTTTTCATGAGAAATCATTCAGGAACTACCATGCTGAAGACAATGGCCACAATATTTTAAAAGGACCAGAAGAAAAGCAATGACAAACTCCTCATTGGTGTGGAAAGAAAATCCTACAGAAATCCTATTGACACTCTCTAATAAAGGAAAACTAAAAGAATTCACCATCAGGACTGATCAGCAAGAAATGTTAAAAGGTCATTCAATTTGAAGGGAAATGATCCTAGATGCGAACTTTTCTCTTCAAAACGGAAGGTCAAATGAAATTTTAACAGTTGACCAAGTGTAGCAGACCCCTGCTGTTTCCTGTCAATTGTGTTAAAATATGTGTCACTGCTAAACTACTATTGTGGGCTGGTGTGTTTCTAAGGTATAGATATACAGAATGCCCTGCATGTATGTCCAGGAATGCACTATCACCATATGCTTGAAATAGTACAATACTAAAAATAAGTACATAGGTCGGATATTATAATTCCTAGTAACTTAAAAAAAAAGTAACCACAAATTCATTCAATAAATAAAAATGAAATAAACACAAAACATCAAAAAGCAGGTAAGAAAAAGAAAATAAAACAAAAACCATCTATTATCAACAGAAACAAGATATATTCATAAGATACAATAATAAGGGATTTGGAATTAAAGTGAATAATTCAAATATAGCACTTAAACTTGTAGACTGGGGCTGGAGAGATGGCTCCAAAAGCCTTGATACTCCTGCAGAAGACTTGGACTCAATTCTCAGAACCTACCTTGTGGCACACAAATGTCTGTGACTCCAGTTCCATGGGAGCTGACATCCTCTTCTTGCCCCCACAACCATCAGGGACACATTTGGTGCACATACATATATACTCAGGCAAAAAATCCAAACACATAAAATTAAAGTACATAAATCTTTCTCAGGTATGTAGAATATGGCTGAAACGTAGCTTCAATGGGAACAAATTCATATTACATCAAAGGTTTGGGGCAACCCTGTTGCTGAAGACATCACATCTGTGAGTCAAAGAACACGGAGCAATCAAGTTAATACTGACCTGGGAGCTCCCCCCTCGTGGCCAGCTTTCCTAGTGCGGGAAGGTGCTCTATGAACACTAGCAGAGGATAAAAGGAAGCGTCAATTTCGCCTTGCTCATCCCAAGCCCTGGGAGCCACAGTAGTGACTGGGCTGGCAAGATAAGCCACTGTGGTGATAGTGCCATGCACATGACGGGAGACATTAATAGCTTTAAGGTTGGATGTAAGGCCTGTTCCACAAGATAAAACGCCTGGCACCATTAACAGGCCAGGACCTATAGTTTGGTGAGTTATGAGCCATAAGGAAGAAGTTACTACTTAAAACATTTTTGAAGGAAAATTACAATAGACATGCTGATAGAGGAAAGGCTTTTACTGGACAAAGGTAACAAAACTACTGGTGATGAAGAAATGCTAGGAGGTGGAGAAATAGTCTTCCCAGAAAAGAACAAACCAATTGGTTACCCAATTCAAGTGACCATCCCTAAAAGTTAGTACTTTTGTTCTAAGTGAGCATAGTATTAAACTAACTGCTAATGACTTAGATTAATTCATTTCTCAAGCCTCATCAGAGAAGCTTTTATTTACAGCAAATTATGATGAACACAAGAGACTTACAACTGGCCATGGTGTGAGAGTCATAGACTGCAGAATGGTCATCCCTAAGTGAAAGAGACATATTCTATCCCTCTTCCAAAGGCTCGGAGATAACTGAAGAAGAGGTAGTAGAAAGAGGTTTTTTGTTTTTATTTTCTATTTGGGGATTTTTATTATCTCTCTTCCCCTCTCCCTCTGCTTCCTCCCTCCCTTCCTTCCCCTCCCTCTGAGTTTTAGCCAGAGGCTGCTGATGACTATAAGAAGGGTTTCTCTGGACACAGAAAGGCAGAAGCACTGATAGGAACTCATGATGGTTATGACAGCATGCACAAGGCCTATATGCAAGCTCAAGCAGTACTGAATCCCAGCACAGAGTGGAACTGGACAGGAAGTCCCTTTTCTAGCTGAAGAGCTCTTGGCAGTTGTTAGCTGCTGGGAGAGGAAGAATCAGTGTTCTCAAAGAACACAGCTACTGATAGGTTGACCACAGTCCAGTTCAGACCACAAGAACATTTAGGTAGCAGAAATTTGTCTTTGTGCGTTTTTAAAAGTAAAAAGACACAAAATTGGATTGGGGGGAAGAATCTGGAGGGAATTTGGAGAGGAAGGTGAGCATGATCAAAGCACATTGTTCAAGATTCTCAACTACTAAAACATATGTATATTAAGAAATGTTTTGTTCTGTTTCTGTGTTCTTATAAGTATACCTTATTTAGGTAATATAGAAAGAAATTGAGTTTAGAATTCTGGTGACTGTAAAATCCAAATACCATGGCATCTGGAAAGGAAGGAACCTTTGACTTCATCTTAACATGAAAGGTGGCATCTTAGCATATGAGGCACAAACTGTTAGAAAGACTGACATAGATCCATTTTAAAGACTTGGTCTCCACTCTTAACATTATAATTTGGAATTGAGCCTCAACAAGAGGTTTGTTGTAGACAAATCACACATGAACCATAAAAATAAGAAAATAAACATATACAAGTAATGACCTAATAAGCTATACTAAAATATTGGGTGGGAAGGACAGATAGCAAACTAAACCCAAAGAAAGAAAAAAGAAATCTACAACCACTAAAGAACAACATAATTAAAGACAAAGCTAGTTCTTTGAAGAATAAAAACAAAATTTACTAGTATCTAAGTAGATTAATCAACAAAACAAGACTGCAAATGGCCAGTGTCTGGAAGAATAGTAGAGATCTCATCAGAGACCCTACAGATAATATAAAGTAAGAATAGGATGGGCAGCTTTCTACCAACATTCAGCATGGATGAAATGCCTATACGCTTCTCTAGACAAGGGTTTTTAACTTTCTTTGATGTGTCCATTTGAAAATTAGATACTATTAGAATTACTACATCTAAATTAATAATGATGAATGCCAAGAGCTGTCAAGCAACTAGATTTCACGAAAACATCTAGCTACAAGGGCACTACAAGGAAACAGTATGATGAAATTATGCATTTACCTATTCTATGGCATGTCAATCCAACTTCTACCCCAGAGAAATTTAAAAAAAAAAACCAATAACTTCTTTTGTATGAACAATCAATATTAACAATAATCAAGAGTTATACTGTTAAAGGATAAATAAAATGTATAGCCATACAGTGGAATTCCTATCAACCTCTTTTCAAGGAAAAAAAAAAAACAATAATAGAGACAGATAGCAATTTGTATTAGCTGCCTGAAGTTGAGTGTGGGAATGAGGCAAATGTGTAACAGATGAGTGTGTTTTGTGAGGGAAGTATAGTAATGCTTACAAAATTCTGCAATTTAGCAGGACAAGTCACACACAACGGTGACTTCTGTGATACCTAAATTGTATCTCTTGATAAAGCTCCTAAGGAATAAATATATTCGAGACAAAAGGATTTTAAATGTGAAGAACAAGCTGGGAGGTTGAGACTAGACAGCTGATGCTGTTAGCTGTGCTGTGAAAGCAGTTAGCAGAACGTTTTCTATGATGGGAATGGCCAGTGGCTGAGAACTAAAGATTAATAATGTCAGACTGTGCTGCCTCAGGGCGAAGAAGAGCAAGGAAAGCTCTTAACAAGTCGGGGTTGGGGGGTTCAGAAAGTAAAGAATGACTAAGGAAACATAAAAAAAAAAACTAGAGAGTCAGTGTTATTAACAAAAGACTAAAATAGGAGCTTCAGAAAAGGATCAAAAAGGATCTGGTCCCTGATCTCTGAAGCTGGTTATACCAGAAAGTCATTTATCTAGGTCAGGAGCCAGAAGAGCCTGCAGTTATAGTTTGGGCAGTGTGAAGCTACTCAAACTGGACTCCAATCTGAAATTAAACTTGAGGGGCAAGTGTGGGAGCCAAATGGGAAACTAGAGTTGGGAGCTGAGAGAATACAGGTAGGAGCAGGCAGTGACCAAAGATGCCAGAAGATCACAGGCATCAAAACTTTTGCCACTGACTTGATATCCTTAGGAGTCCATCCATCCTTTTTGCCTGTTGGTCTGGTCACTCCTCAGCAGAAAAGCTTCTTCTTGAAGTAGATGGGATAAACACAGAGACATACAACAGGGTAATATGTAGAGAGTGAGACTCGAGCACTCAGTCCTAAATGGATGTCTTCGTTCAACCCCTCATGCCAGACCCTGAGGTCTGTACGGAAGACGAAGTAGAAATACAACACGAACCAGAGGTGGAGACTAACCCTAAGAAAACGGCATCCTCCAGTCACTACAGGACTGACACATGTATGAGCCCAGAGACTGTGGTACCATGCACAAGTGTTACAGAGCTTCAAGCCAGATGGGATCCTGGCACGGAGAGGAAGAAATGGCTACAGGCCCACAAGCCTAACTAAGAGCTCTTTGCACCTGTTGGTAAAGGGAACATCAGTTTTCTCCACCGGAGTACCAACCACACTTCAGGGCAGGCCCCACATACAACAGTAGTTGTGTAACACAAAATAAACTCCTTGTTTGATTTTTGTTTTTAGTGGGAAAAAAGGATCAAAAAGAAAAATACAATAGAGGAAAAAAAATACCAAAGAAATGCACAAAAAGATTCCACATTAGAAGACCCTAAGTCTTCATCCTGTGAAAGTTCATCTTTTGTTTCTTAGACTTGTTTTTTCTGGTTGTTTCATGTGAATGAGAAGTTAAAATAGCTCAAATTTTGTGTCTACCTTATTAGAAACATGCATATTTGAGTTCTCATCTTTAACTGAAATTTTCTATCTAGCCAGACTATCAATCAAGTGTGAAAGTAGAATAAAATCATCTTCAACTGCACTCAGAGCAGGCACCTAGTCACCACCCTTCCTCCTAGGTCTTCTGAAGAATGTGCTGAGCAAAAAGAGGTGGTGAATGAAAAGATGACAATGTGACAATCAAGGGGACACTTGAGTGACATCATGAAAAAGAGCCAAGTTGGGAACTTCAAAGTTCTTCCCTGTTAGGGGGAGCAGTAAGCTGGCAAACACCGGAAGAATCAACATTCTCTGAACTCTGGAATTTCATTAAATGCTTGATTTGTTTGAGAAACATTCCCAGGACAAGAGCTAACAGCTAGAATAAACACCATGTGTTTTTGTTTGTTTTTCTTTTTTGTTTTTTTCCGGACAAGGCTCTTTGTCTAGCCCTGGCTGTCCTGGAACTCTCTCTGTAAACCAAGCTGGTTTTGAACTCAGAGATCTACCTACCTCTGCCTCCCAAGTGCTGGGATTATAGGTGTGTACCACCATGCCTGACTACAAGCACATGGTATTTCAAAGTGGTAATATTCCTTCCAAATGATCTATAGATTCAATGTCATCACTAATAAGATTTTAATCACTTCTATGATATAAATGAAAAATCTGTTCCTAAAAAGTACATGGAATTTCAATGAACCCCAAATAGCCTTAAAAAAAAAACAGTATTCAAGAGTTTATAATTCCAAATATCAAAACTTAATCCAAAGCTACAATACTCAAAGAGTATGATACCAGCATAAGGTAAAAATATAGGATAAAGAATTAGAACTGAGAGTTCATAGATAAATACCAATGTCCACATTGCCTGATTCCCCATAAAGGTTCCAAGTCCATTCAGTGTGGAGGGAATTTTTTTTTTAATACTGAATAGCTACAGGAGAAAGGATGAAGCTGAACCGCAATCTCATAGTATATTCATAAATTAACTAAAAATGGATCAAAAGCCCAAAAGTATAAAACTCTAAAGAAAACAAGAACAAATAGTCATAAAAGCTGACACTTATTTTTTACATCTAATCCTAAAATACAGCAATAAAAGAAAAATGATCAAGTTAGACATCATCTAATTAAAATGCTGAGCCCTGAAGGAAGAAGTGAAAAAGCATGTTCCAGCACAGGGAAAACACTTGAAACCATCTATCTGGAATCTAATAAGAGCTAGCACTCAAAATAAAAGGAGAGAGAGAAGTGGGGGAGGGGAAAGAGCATATATGTATGTATATAAAACGAATCAATAAAAAATATGATTAAATGTACAAATAGCTTCCTATCTCATTGGAACCATTATTATTCCGGTGTCTTCTTTAGAGCAGAAAATCGTAATTATTAATACCAAGAAATTAACCTAAAATATGATAAAAGCCTTATTATGGAGATGTAGGCAAATAACAAAGAGAGTTAACCTTATATGAATACTGAGGATACTCTGATTTAAATTGAGAATTTTGTACCTTTTTTAACTGGAGACTGGTGTTGTTGTTGCTCATTAAGACCTTGAGAAAAGGCTTGCATTCCATTCGTCTTACACTGTTGAGTAAGAAAATATACTTTTAAACTTGGGTTCAAGAGGCTTACATAACTTTTTTTAACCATGCAGGGATATTTTTCTAAGGCCTGAGATATTAATCAAGGATGTGTGGAGCCGACTAATAGACCCTGAGCATATGCTTGCTCTTTAAAGTGAACGTCAGAAAGCTGGTGCCCTGCTGCACACTTACAGCTCCAGCACTTGGGTGGGAGGGTTGTGAATTCAAGGCCAACTTGGGATACAGAGGAAAACGGAGTTCCCAGTCAATCTCAGCTCCTACCTGCCCCTGAGCTGCTGAACAGGGGAACCCCAGAGTTACCCCAAACAACACAGTTATTGCCATTGTGCTTGGTTACCCAGCACAACGAGATGGGAAGACCCTAACGCTGAAGCCACCCATTGGTTGTAGGACACAAAGACACCAAACTGGAAATGACTGAAAACATCCTCCCAACTGGCTTTTTATAAAGCCTAAAGATGCTATACAGGCCACTGTGGGGCAAATCATCCATGGTTTTACTCATTGATAAACCTTGTATGCTATATAATAGCGACTTGCCAGTCAAGACGTAACCAATAGTGAAATAGTGGCGTGCATGTTACACAGCTAACTAACCACATTCTGACGGGCATGGGGGGAGAAGTCAATTCAGAGACTCCTAACTAGTCAAAGAGAATGTTGACTTCTAAGCCTAACTATAACAGCAGTACTTCCCCACTCTCCAGACTCAGGCAACATCTCAAGAGGGATGAGATCCCTCTTATCCTCAACTGAAAGGATAAGAGGCAGTAGATGGGAAGGGGTGGTGTGAAATGCTCTCTTCTGGGCATAGCATGACCACTGTACACATGAACTCAGAGAAGCTGTGGCTCTCTGCTGGACGTGCAGATTGCGCCTTCAACCTTCTAGCATGGGTGGCTCAGGGGAGGTCATTGGCCAGACGGGGACTATTGGCAATTAATGGGAGCTGGAAGAGGAGTTCTTTTCTTTCAGAGGTGTAGCCACTGGTAAGGCGTCTGTGACCCAGTAAGCAATCCCATGCCCCACACATGCAAACAATAGCTAACCTCAGTGAGTTGTAAAACACATACACAGTGCACAAATAAACATGGTATATTTCTCTAAAAATTTAACAGATGATCATTAATATGAGTTAGCTACTGCAAAGCAAGACCTAATATCAAACTCAAAGATAAAATTATACATCATGCTTATTCTTATTAAAATAATCATTTTCTAAAATGTTTCATACATGTAAAAGCATACTTACTAAAAGTTTTGCAAAATGAGTACGTTATGTGACTTACCTGTCATAATCATACAATGGCAAGCACAATCATCATGTTTGCAGTTAAAATAAAGACCAGATGAGTTTGGTGACTAAGGCAGAATGCCAGATGCGAGACAGCTGAAGTAGGCTTTGATTCCTGGTGCTACAATATGCAGCTGTGAAGGCTGTGCACCGAAAAGCATAGCCTTCACCCCACTGATGCTGACATTTAACAAACAAAATAGAACGAGCTTGTAGCTCTCTAAAATAGTCTTTGCTCTTTTCTAACTCTTACAGAGATGCTGAGCAGATCATCGCACCCCGATGTGCACCTCGGCACCGCAGAGACACGGTACCCATGCACTCCAGAGGCAAGCACCTCAGCGGATGGCAAGCTGAGGGGAGAGCAGTGCTCAGCGCAGGAGTTCTCTCCCTGTTTTGTTTTTTTATCACAGAGAACCTTTCAAACTTGAAATCCAATTGAAATTCAAAATTCAGATTTTCATTTGAAAAACTGAAAAATACAATGAATAGTCATTGTGACACTTATATAATTGAAACAACTGACTATCAAAAGAAATTGGACCAAAAAGGTATGTTCATGTAAGCTAAAGTGTTTTTCCCCATCTGCACCATCTGCTCTATTTCTTAAATAGTTGCCTAGCATTCAAGTTATGTTAATGTTCGGGTACCACAGCTTTGTTTCTGGACATATCTTCATGAGAATAGCTACTTAGATTACTAGGAAATATGCCACCAGGGAAGGGATGTCAACTAGAAGAAAATTTTCACTAAGTATCACTCCACATATTTAATTTTTAACATAAATATTAATGTGAAAGAAAATTGAAAAATAAAGCAGTTACAATTATTCTGTGATAGAAAAAATTCAAGATATACTTATGGAAAATTAATAACCAGCATAGTTAGCTCTGGGGAGGGTAGGAAAAAAAAACGGGAATCAATTTTAGAAAGATACACAAGGTGTTTTGAATTGTCAGAATTTTGTTTTTAAATTTTTAAAACAAATATAGGAAAACATTCACATTTTTAAATGCTGCATGAGAGGTATATGGGTGGCATGCAATCCTTAACATATGTATGAAATATATTTTAACATTTAAGAAATACAATGCACTTAACATAAGATCTTGCACGTAGCCACTTAATATTATTTTACAGTTTGTAAAGTGTGTATACATATTCCACACACACACATGCACACGCACACACTGGATAAGCATATACTGTGTCTCCCTGCTGCTCCCCGGCCCAATCTGTCATAATTTCTAAGAACTTACTCTGCCAACTCCACTCTGTAAGCACTGAGTGTTGCATGGATACTCATTCTGAAAGTTGAAAGGGAACACTGGTCCTGTTACAAGAGAGAGACTGTTTCAAATATCCACGTGCTCAACAAATGATATACCTAAGAAACATGTCTAATAACATGTCTATAATCTAAACAGTCTAAGAAACATGCATGTTTATAACATCTTTAGCATTGTTAAAAAAAATGTATGATGGTTCATTATTCAACAAGTATTTATTCAACCCTCTGACATCCAGCTTTTTTGGTGTGGGTAATCAAGCATGAGAAGGATTTGCAGTCTGAAAACCAAGCTTATAAGTAATGACAGGTTATCGCTAAGCTGCCCAATCAGACTTGAATTGTCTCTGTGCCCCAAATAAGCCTTGAGAGTGCAATCTTATTGCCTTCACTTTTCAGGCAGTCGGATTACAGGCCCGAGCCATTAAGCCAGGCTTACCCCTAAGTCGTTCTTGCTGTGTAGCCTCCTGGAATCAGAAGCATAACTGTTCAAGCACACCCTTGGCCCCTGCTGGCATTACATGTACAGCATAACACCTCTAGACCTTGCTTGCTGTTCAACTTGTTGTTTGTGCTCCATGTGTTTACAAGACAAATTCTACAATGTGATACCATGCACTGACAATAACCACACGGTACAAATAATTTATATGTGAGGGTATCTCTCTGACCAGAGACCAGCTAACTATACAATGAGACATGAAAGTAAAACAAAACCAAACAAATAAAAAACCACAGAGCTACTCCTGTCAGGTAAAGGGCTTTTTCTCCCTTCCCTGGCTTGTAAGACTTAGGATGTGTCTGTAAGACTGGTCAGTAGACACTAATAAGCTCTTTGTCTTGACATAGCATTTGTAAACTCTTCAAACAGAAGGGATCATTAATTTTTATTACTTCTTTTAAAATTCACAACAAATATTTACTTCATAATAATTTAGCCATTCAAATACCAAATAGCCATTAATAAATTAATACTTAAAGAATTAAATACTCCATTACTCACCTGGAGGAGAAGAGAGATGACGAACAGGTCTTGCAGGTTGAAGCGGTTTCCCAATCAATTTTTTGGTTTCCATTGTCATAAAGACCTTGAGGTTCCATACTTTAATAGGAAAAAACACATTTTTATCTTTTAGACATTTTCATCTTTTATCTTTTTACCTTTTATATATGCAAACAACTACAATACTCTTTTGAAAACAGTGGAAACAGAGATGAAACTCATTTAAAATATTCAACAACAAGATTTCTATACTGACTTCACCACAGTTACACAATCCCTTTTTAAGTTATTTTCTTGGTCCAGTTTATGTAACTCAGTTATTTTGTATTGTTTCCTCCCTGTTTCCTGCCTCTTCTACTTTATCTGATACTTCTTCTGCTCTTCAGTTAGAAATTTAAGGACGATTAAATCTAGCTCTGGTCCTCTTAGCTAAACTCACCAATGTTTATGTTTATGGCTACACACATACACATGGAAATATAATGGAATGTACACCTTTAGCCCTTATGTCTTAAGCTCTAGCCCAACTTTTCTCATTGTCCACTGCTATTCCCACTTCTACATTATCACTGGGATGTGAATTAAACATCTCCAGAATTAAATTAAGTGCTGTGGTATTAAAAATCTTCATCCTGGATTCCTTCAAGTCATCACCTTAAACACCTCTTTACTAAACATCTCTTCAATTTGATAGTTTAAGTCATTGTGATTCCTATCCATTTTTCTGCCAAAATACATCACACATATTGTCATCAGTTCTACAACTACCCTCTGACCACCATTTAAATAGATTTAAATGCTACCCACATGTGACCTTGTGACACCATGACTATGTCCACCTTGTGACATTTACAGCTGTACTATAATTTTATTTTTCTTCCATACCAGACAAAGTGAAAAAGAGGTTTATCTTTAAGAAACCACTTATTTGCCCAATATTCACTGGAAAATACAAAATGTAGATAAAATACATTCTTTGAACAACTAGATAAATATTACCATCTTTTGAACTGTGATCCGTTTATATAGACTTAAGCTTTACGACCATGAACATGTGACTAGGGTACAGGTGTGAAGGCCTGTAACCACTACCGCTTAGATGATGAGACAGAAGTACAAGGCTCACCTAAGCAACTTAAGATCCTGGTTGAAAAATAAAAAATTTAAAAATATCTTAGACTATACCTCAAGGGTAGAATTCTTTCCTACAATGTGCAAGGATCTAAGTTAATCCCCAGGACTAACACACACACACAGACACACACACAAAAAAAAGAAAAACCAAAAACTGCCCACCAGTTCAAAGTCATCTGTACAATAATAACCAAAACAGGTTCTACTCATGGCGTGCATAATAAAGCACCATGCACATATTATTATTATAAACAACTCTGTAACGGAGACATGGTAACCCGCCGTCCAGAAAGCTGAGACACGAAGATTCACGCTAGAAGCTACACCGGGCCACCTGGTTAAATTCAAAGCCATCCTGGGCTACCTGGCCTATGTCTCAGAATTAACCACTTTTATGCAAGCATGCCTGGATTCATAGCATGCCTCCAACACCTAGCCATATAACAGCAGATAATAACCACTTTACTGAATAGGAGTGATATAAATATTAAACACTAAAACTTACACACATAACTTAGAAAAACTTCTGTTACATAATTCAGTAAGAGTTAACATGTCGTTCTTGTTGTATAGTTAAGGTATAGAGAAATAATGTAATTATCCAAGACCAGCGAGTAATGCCTGGGCTTTCTCCATGCTGGGGACTACGCTCTCGGGCTGTCACTCTCAGCTGTGGGTTGGGAACCCTGTGGTAGTCAAATGAGCCTTTCACAGGAGTCGCGTGTCACAGACCCTGCAAATCAGACACAATTCCTAACAGCAGCAACAAGAAGAATCTTATCGTTGGAGGTCACCACACACATAAAGGAGGATTAGAGGTCACGGCATTAGGAAGGTTGAGAACCACCGCTCTCGAGTGCAGCCACTGCCTCGGCCTTCTTTCCAGCCACACTTAGGGTAAATTACCCAATTTCTTGATAAGAAACTCTTTGCAGCTAGTCCTGAAAATACCGGACAAAACGGAGTCATATGAAAGGGGAGGAGGTCCTCCCCTATCAGTGGACTTGGAAAGGGGCAGGGAGGAGATGAGGGAGGGAGGGTGGGACTGGGGAGGGAATGAGGGATACAGAATTAACAAAATGTAACTAATGAGAAAAATAAAATTAAAAAATAAATAAATAGATAAATAAATAAATAATACTAAAAAAAAAAGAAAGGCAAAAAAAAAACTGTTTTAAAAAGAAAAAAAAAAAAAAAAGAAAAAAAAGAAAAAGAAACCCTTTTAATATTTTCCCCAAACAGTTCTGTACCCTCTTCCAAAACAGTACATACTACACATATTGCAACTACCTCTTAACCAACGTTTAAATCTACCCTTTCAGGTTTTCATACATATATCCCACTTCTTCCCTCCAGCTCCTTCTCCACTCCCAATCCGCACCAACTACTACAGGCCCGTTCTCCCTTCAGGAATGCATCTAACGCGAACCACCCTCCCTGGAGTGCGGGTATCCACACCATTGTTAGATAAACATCATTCTGCTTCACCATGGGTAGAAATCCAACTGTGTCTCTAGACTCCTCACACTCCCTGTTACCCTTGTCCCAAATGGTTATTCATTGTTCAAGACCAAAGTCAAGGTCCTGCTACTTCCTTACAGAAGATCCCTGGTCTTAATACATAGCTTAAAAGCAAAGCAAGTTGCTTTAAACTTGTCTATGTTCTGATATGTAGCCAAAATAATTCCACTTTCCTTACCTTCCTTCTCCATTGGTTCCCACTGTATTCTGTATATTCTTTACACTAAGATATAGCATGAAATATATTATGTGCTTATTTGAATATACCATTAATTGGCTGAGGCCACAACAACTGGATTATCTTTTCATCCTATTATCTACAACATAGTTTTACTAAGAAAACCAAATAAGTTTAAGTCCCTTCTCATTGTCACTATATCTCTGTGGTACACAGCTTCCTAAATTCTGGGTGTTCATCAAAATAAGACAAAAGTTAGACCTTGCTTAGCTTTACATTGGTCATTTAAAAAGAATTATCATTTTAAATTGTATGCACTATTTACATTTCTTCAAGTATAAGGTATGATTAATTATTTTGTTTTGAGATGCTTTCTCTTATTTAGAAGTCCAATATTATAATAACAAATATAATCCCTCTAAGTTTGCCATGCTGACTAATCAAAAAGTTAACTTTTCCTGAAATGTGAGGATAAGCCAGTTGGCACACTTGTCAATGCCTATCTTGCTTTCTTACATTGCTGTTAAGTAGTGCTCTTTTAACATGACAATTAGCCTTTTAAACCAGTGGTTCACAAGCTTCCTAGTGCTGTGACCCTTTAATATAGTCCTTCATGTTGTGGTGACCCCCAACCATAAAATTATTTTTTGCTGTTTCAGAACTGTAATCTTGCTACTGTTATGAATTGTAATGTAAATATTTTTTGAGAGAGAGATTTGTCAAAGAGATCACAATCCACTTGGTTGAGAACTTCTATAAATCTAAATAAATCAACTATTTGTTCATAACACAATACTGATATAACAGGAAGCAAAAAAAAAAATCCCTCAAATATGTACTAGCTATTTTCTTATGAAATATTTAAAATAAGGGTCAAAGGCCCTCTAATGTGATTTGTTAACTATAATACGTGTTTCTTTGCTTGACGTCTATCCTAGCAATTCTGATGAGGACTCTAATAACACCACACAGTAACTTTCCACCCTGTTTCCCATATGAAACTAGTGAATCGGAGTACAAAAGAATAGAAAGACCTTGGCACACAGTTCCTTGTTTTCCATTGCTCAGCTGAAACTGAGCTGTAGACTGTGAAGTCTCTTCCAGCTGCTGAGCAAGGCAAATCCATGGTATTCAAAGTGGGGGGGGTTCAAGGGTTGGGGAGTTACAGATTTGCAAAACATTCAAAAGAACAAGAAAGCCTTTTAGTGCCACCTACCTTTCAGTTGGCAATACCAGAGAGAACACCGAGGGATCCCCATATACACGCTCACATCAGTCAGTAAGTTAGAAAATAGGCTTCCACACAGACTTTTTAATTTATTTTCTTTTAAAATCAAACTCTGCTTGCACAGACACACTGACATTAGAGGGAATGAGTTACAAATCACAATGCTAACAGTGTTACAAATCACGTGTCATCATTAATCACAATGCACGGTACACACTATCATCATCTTATTAATTAAAGGCTATATTTACAAGATTATCACCGTATCAAGCTGAGCTACAGGAGGCTGATCAAGAGAAGAGTCCACAGACCACAATTCAAATCTCCATTTGGTTTAATAGAGGCTTAGCTGAACTACATCAACGTATAAAATAGCTTCAGATTTTAATGCCTGTTTCATCCAGGAGCTTAAACGTTTTCTTAATGCTGCCAGTGCTACAAGTGGGCATTTAGCTCATCAACTTTGAGAAAGGACAGGAGTTGCAAAAGAAACAGGGTCTCACCGATAGTGCAATGTAGCAAGAGGCAGCCTCATAAGAAAGGTGTCTTTTAAAATGCAAATCTAGTCTGTGACCTAGTTTGTTTTATTTTTAGGGGCATTTGGCATAATAGCTCAAAATATTCAAAATATATTCTTCAAAATGACTGATAAATACAGTTTCTTTCAAGTTTGGAGATGTAATCTTGAATGACAAGTTGCTTATGCGTGATAGATAGCAGTAGACTGTCAACAGGGCTAACAGCCAAGAACCTTGGAGCAGCTAGTCCACTAATTAGACCCCTGTTTCCTTTTCTGTTTTACAGAAGTTGTTTTCATTAATTCTGAAATTACAAATTAACTAAATTCTCTAAACTATAGTAGAATAAACAAACTGATAAATTTGGATGCAATTGCGTATAAAATATTTAAATTAAAACATCATTTTTAGATGGTACTACATTCTAAATACCTTATAGTCATTACTTCAACACTGAGCTATACACTAAGTGTTGAAAGTGATTAGTCCCACTTTACAGAACAGACAGATGAAATTAGGAGATCCAAATCTACATAGCTACTTAGCCAAGAATTGAGGGTTTGACTACAAAATTCATCCCTCTCTAACGTTGCATATTTGCTCAGACATCTGACTGCACTGTTACATGCAAGCATGTTACGTGTTGATAAAAAATTAACTAGGAGAAGGCATGTTTATATATATATTTGTCTTGGAATATTAAATATGACATGTTTCCTTCAAAGTACTTCAGAGTTTAAGAAATGTAGGGCTGGGCTTGTGGCAGAGGCGGCACATAGGCCTGGATTTGATCCCCAGCCCTGCGTAAAACCTGGCATGATGGCTCACACCTATAATCACCGCGCTTGAAAATCAGGAATTCAGACTCTCAGCTTCAGGGTGAGTTAGGGGACAGATAAACTGGATACTAAAATTAAAATCTCCCTTTTAAATTCTAGGCGTCTTGGAGACTAAGGACGTAACTCAGGGCTAAAGCACTTCCGTACGGAAGCGTGAGGTCCTGGATTCTACTCCCAGCACCACCAAAATAAATATACAGTTCTAGTACAATTAAAGGACGAGCTCACTTTTATTTACCTTCCGTATAGTTCCCATTTGAAAACTCGTTGAGATTTAAATTCAGTCTCCTGCTCCAAACTTCTACACTTCAAAGTACTCCTTAAAACCAAAAAACTCCTTAAAGCCACTCGTTAAAAAAAAAAAAAAATGCCCTGATAAAATAATAGCCAAAAAGTAATAAAACACAGATGAACCGGAGACAGAATCCATTCTTAAGTAGTAAAAAATATATTATTTCATAAATCTAACCGGCCCTATTGGGTTTTCTGAAAGCCTACCCAACAGCTCTACTGGTAGCATCACACATCATCCCTTCTAAAGACACGGGGAGGTGGGCTAAGGGAGGGGACTGGTTTGCTTTGCTTTGGTTTGAGCATCTTCCAGCAAGAGACACAACTTAACGACTCGCTGAAAGCAGCCGTCCAAGGGGCGACAGGTGTGTGCGCCGCGGGTCCGGGCGGGCGCCCTCGCTGCCACCTGCGGGCGGCGGACCGGCGGGAGGCGGCGGGGTGTCCGCCTGCGCGCCCGGGCCCGCTCCCCCGCCGTGCCCGCTGCCCACCCGGCGCCCGGGCTGTGGGGCGGCCTCCCCTCACCTACCGCCTCAAGACCCGGGAGGGTTTCCGGCGCGGCGTCGCGGCGCTCAGCCCAGACACGGCGGCCGAGCGCCCGGCTGCCGTCGGGGAACGGCTCCCGCCGCGCGTCGCCTCGCGCCCTGGGTCTCCGCGGCCGCGGGCTGGGGGCGGGGCGCGGGCGCGGG